CAGAGTTTTTAAGGTTGGCTTTGAGCCCATCTTTAAATCTCTTTTCCTGTCCACCAACGTTCCGTTTTCCGTTCTTAAGTTCGGAGTAGAGCAACTGCTTTGGGAGACGGTGGTCAGGCATCCGGACAACGTGGCCGGCCCAGCGGAGTTGATATTGGAGGACCATCGCTTCAATGCTGGTGGTCTTTGCTTCTTCCAGGACACTGACGTTTGTCCGCTTGTCTTCCCAGGAGATTTGCAGGATTTTCCGGAGGCAGCGCTGATGGAAACGTTCCAGGAGCTGCATGTGACGTCTATAGACAGTCCACGTCTCACAGGCATAGAGCAGGGTTGGGAGGACAATAGCTTTATAGACAAGCACCTTGGTCTCCCTACGGATGTCCCGGTCCCCAAACACTCTCTGCTTCATTCGGAAAAATGCTGCACTCGCAGAGCTCAGGCGGTGTTGTATTTCGGTGTCAATGTTGACTTTGGTGGAGAGGTGGCTGCCAAGGTAGCGGAAATGATCAACATTTTCTAATGTTACACCATTAAGCTGTATTTCTGGCATTGGAGAGGGGTTGGCTGGTGACTGTTGGCTTGTTTTTATTTTCTTTGGAAGACGCCTGTGCGTGGGTTTTTTTAATGTGTGGAGGTCAGTGCACAACTGATCAACACACAGTCTTCACAGAGTGAGGTTCCACTGGTGATGTAGTTTAACACAATGACCATGGCTTCTCAGTCTGTTGCAGCCTTCTTCCGCCTTCGTAATTTTAAAATAATGTTTATATTTAATCCTGTTTTGATGTTTGCATATTTGCAAATGTATATTATATTCTCAAGCTTTTATGTCAAGCTGCTTAGATTCTCCTTTGGGAGAGATAACGTGCAGTATTAATAATAATAATAATAATAATAATAATAATAATAATAATAATAAGCCTGGACTGCTATCTGCCAGGGGAGCTTTGTGCTTTTCCTGCATGGCAGAAGGGGATTGGACTGGACGGCCTCTGGGGCGTTCCATGGTGATATTGTTTTTATTTATCTACAATCTTTATATTCCGCCCTTTTCAACCCGAAGGGGACTTAGGGTGGATCACAATACAACATACACAGCAAACATTCAGTGCCAATTTTTAGACATACAAGACATACAGACAGATAGAGGTAATTCAGCATGTTTTCCAACTTCAGCTCCTGGAGGTTGCTCAATTCCAGCCACAGGGGGGAGCTGTCGCTTCATTCACTATGATGCTGAGCCTTTGATCGCAGTATTTCCTCCTTTCTCTTTGATCTCTGGCATTTTTTATGATGTCATAAATTAATCTCTCTGCTTTAAGCAGTCCCTAATTTCTCTACTCACAGCTCAGCTGTTTTTGAACTGCTTAGGTTAATCGTAAGCTGGGCTATTAATAGTCAGGAGCTCAAACCCAACTCGGGCTTCGAACTTGCCACCTTCCGGTCGGTAGTGATTTGTTCCTGCTAGTGATTAACCAGCTGTCTACTATTAACTTTATGTTGGTTAAATTTGTTCTTAATTTTAAATATTGTATTGTCCTTTCTTTCTTTTTGCACTACAGATGAGATATGTGCATTGTGTGTAGGAATTTACTGATGCTTTTTTCAATTAGTTCACACAAATGCTCTCCATCCATCTGCCACTCGCCTGGCCTGTCTGTCAAATTTTAAAACACAATGCAGCCTCTGTCTCCAAAAGTTTGTCCATGCCTGTTTTAGAGGAACATATAGCAGTCTTTCTAGGTTTGAGACCTATAAAAGGTTTTCCCCTTTTGCTATAAAATAGACAGAAAACAGGCACTCCTACAGATTGTAGGTTCTATATTCCACACTCAATGAGTTTTACTGGTGAGTTACCTATTGTAGCTGTAACAATAGATTAATTAACTCAGTGGGGTTTACCCATGTGTTGGCTCAGCATTGATAGATGTGGTTGATCTACTCTATTTGAGACTAACCAATGGGATTCAGGACAGTATCGTGATTACTTACTGTTGCAGGGGAGGAAACCAGATTCTATTACTGTTGCATAAATAGTAGTGTTCTAGCTGTATCTACACTGATTTGGAAAATGTTATGCCAAGGGCTAGCAACAATGGCAGTACACATATCTTAAATTACTTGAAGCTTGAGATTTGATCTGGACGGTTCCAGTCTATTAATTGCTTTAGTATGTAGAATTTCTTCAGCCAAGGCAGATGATTTGGCTACTGGACTTCCCCTGTGCTTACAGGCTTCTTCTGCCAGCTTCCATAAAATAATGTATTGTTGAAGGCTTTCATGGCTGGGTTGTTGTAGGTTTTTCCGGGCTATATGGCCTTGGTCTAGAGGCATTTTCTCCTGACGTTTCGCCTGCATCTATGGCAAGCATCCTCAGAGGTAGTGAGGTCTGTTGGAAGTAGGAAAATGGGTTTATATATCTGTGGAATGACCAGGGTGGGACAAAGGACTTTTGTCTGCTTGAGCTAGGTGTGAATGTTTCAACTGACCACCTTGATTAGCATTTAATGGCTTGGAAGTTCCTGAGGGGAATCTTTTGTTGAGAGTGATTTGATGTGCCTGATGGTTTACTCTCTGTTGTTTCACTTTGAGGGAACAAAGTACATTATGCATGCCCTTCTTGTGAAGGAACTCCTCTACTGCTGATCAAAATTTTCCTTGATTTTAATGTTATGTATTACATGTGTATATTGTGAACCGCTCCGAGCCTTCGGGGAGTGGCGGTATATAAAATTGATTAATAAATAAATAAAATAAATAAAGCTTTATACTGATATAACTGAGATACTCTGGCCTGGCCAGCTGCCAGAATTAACCCAGTCTCTGCCTGATTTCGATGGGGAAGCTCTGGTTCCGTCTGCCACTGTTAAAAGCCTTGGGGTTGTGTTGGACTCATCGCTGACGATGGAGGCCCAGATCACTGCCCTAAGCAAGCAGGCCTTTTTTCATCTTCACCAGGCAAGGAAATTGGCATCCTACCTTTCGGTAGAAGCATTGGCAACAGTAATCCACGCAACAGTCACCACGAGGTTGGACTATTGCAACACCTTATATGCCGACCTTCCGAAGTCAACAACCCAGAAGATTCAGATGGTCCAAAATGCAGTGCCCAGGCTGCTAGCGGGATCATCTATAAGATCCCATATTACACCGATTTTGCAACAACTGCATTGGCTACCAATAGAACATCGGATCTCTTACAAGATACTGATCCTGACTTTTAGAGCTCAAAATGGCCAAGGACCTTTATATCTTAGGGACCACCTAATTCCTTTTTTCCATCAGTGGTTACCTCAATCCACCCAGGAAAATCTCCTATACATAACTATACATCACAAAATTATTATTATTATTATTATTATTATTATTATTATTATTATTTTGTTTAGTACATAGCAAACAATATCACTATACTGGCTTTTGTATTTGATCACACATCTAGGACTGTGTGATGTATTGGGAAATAATGTGTGCAGACTATCTGTCAGCCTTATGCAGCTGCTAGATGGTAATTTTGTCAGCACCAATTGTTTTTAACTGCAGGCCAAGGTCTTTAGGCACTGCACCCAGTGTGCTGATCACCACTGGATCCTAATATTGTGTAAGCTTTTCCAGTTGCTTCTCGTCAATCCTGCTGTTGCCTGGGATTGCAACATCGACGACCCATACTTGTTTCCCCCCTCCCCCCCACAAATGTGAGGTCAGGAGTATTGTGCTCCAAAACTCTGTCAGTCTGAATTTAGAAGTCCGAGAGTAGTTTGACATCTTCATTTTCTGTAACTTTTTCAGGCTTGTGATCCCACCAGTTCTTTGTCACAGGATGATGGTATTTGTGGCACAAGTTCCAATGGATCATCTGAGCAACAGTATTATGTCTCTGCTTGTAGTTCGTCTGCGCAGTCTTCTTGCAGCAGCTGAGTATGTGATCCATTGTTTCATATGCTTTTTTTCGGAGGCTACACTTGGAATCTATCGTCGACTTTTCAATTCTGGCTTTGATGGCATTGGTTCTAATGGCATGTTATTGGGTTGCATCATCATCATCATCATCATCATCATCATCATCATTATGCTATATTTATATCTTGCTTTATCTTGCCAAAGGGGACTCATATATATCCCAGCATATGCTCTCTTCAAACAATTGGAAAGTATATATAGGATGTAGAAAATATTTGTGTTTTTATTTCTGTGTCTTTCTCAAAATTTCATCTACATATTTTTCTTGGTCTTCATCTGTAGTGGCAATATATTTTATGTTTGTTTTTTTTGTCGTGTCAGGAGCGACCTGAGAAACTACAAGTCGCTTCTGGTGTGAGAGAATTGGCCGTCTGCAAGGACGTTGCCCAGGGGACGCCCGGATGATTTGATGTTTTTATCATCCTTGTGGGAGGCTTCTCTCATGTCCCCGCATGAGCAGCTGGAGCTGATAGAGGGAGCTCATCCGCCTCTCCCCGGATTCGAACCTGCGACCTGTCGGTCTTCAGTCCTGCTGGCACAGGGGTTTAACCCACTGCGCCACCGGGGGCTCCTTTTTGTAGGTAAAGGTAAAGGTTTCCCCGCAACATTAAGTCTAGTCGAGTCCAACTCTGGAGGGTGGTGCTCATCTCAATTTTTCAGCTGAAGAACCGCCGTTGTCCATGGACACCTCCAATATCATGTGGCCAGCATGGTGTGCTATTAGCTTCTCACCAAAGCAGTACCTATTGATCTACTTACATTTGCATGTTTTCGAACTGCTAGGTTGACAGAAGCTGGGGCTAACAACGGGAGCCCACCCCATCTCGTGGATTCAAACTGCTGACCTTCCATCAGCTGTTAGCAGTTTAACCTGCTATGCCACCACGGCCCCTTAGGGTTTTTTTGTATATAGATGGCAAATCTTGCATACTTTAGTGCATGAATGTAGGGACTAGGGAACAGCCCTCTTACTATTATCCCTATGCTGTTGCACTTCTATTGATCCTGTTCTTACCAAAGCTGCTTATCATGTCACCGGATCAGATTGCATATTTCTCTCTGCCTTGGGCTCTGTTAAAACGTATAGATATGTGTACATTGCATGTCCCAAAATTTTACAGTAACGGAAACAGAATACAATATAAGTCCTGTGAGCCTGCCGAGAAGGATCTCTCCCCCGCCTCATCCCCCACTTTGGACCTCATGACTGGATGCTTGCTGGGACTGTAAGACCACTGTGAAGCAGACAATTTAAATCTGCTTCCTTAAACTCCTTAATTGCTATTTGGCCAGCCATCTCCAAATTCCTCTGTCTCTTCACGCAGCGCATTCATCATTCGTGTTCCTAATCTCTTTCCAAAAATGATGAAGTTTGAGGAGCTCCTTGCAGAAGTGGATGGGTTTGGGAAATACCAGATACTGGTCTTCTTGATGCTTTGTATACCCAGGTTGATCATTCCCATGCATTTTTTGCTTCACAATTTCATTTCTGCAATTCCGCCTCACCACTGTGCTATTCCTGACTTTCCTGGAATTTCAAACTTAAGCCAAGAGGAAGTTTTCCTTGTCAGCCTCCCAAGAGAACTGGATGGCACATGGAGCTCTTGTAAGATGTTCTCCAGGCCACAGCTTCACCTGTTGATCAATTCTTCCGGGGAGTTGGACAACAGTTCATCTATACAGAACTGCCAGCAAGGATGGGTTTATGATGCTGGGCAATATGCATCTACCACGGCTACTGAGGTGAGCATTTGCTATGGTATTGTTTGAGATCTGTTTTATTTCTGTTGGGCCACCTTCTCCAAACTTGGTGTCCTCCCATAGGATCAGGTTGCAACTTCCGCCTTCCCTGTGGGTTGAGTCATGCGTTGGAGATAATGGTATCTATAGAGAATTATAGAATCATAGTTGGAAGAGACCTCAATGGCCATCTAAACCCCTTCTGCCATGCAGGAAAATACAATCCAATCACTCCCAACAGATGGCCATCCAGAGAAGACTCACCACACCCCCAGGCAGCATAGTCCACTTCCAAACAGCTCTTACCATCAGGAAGTTCTTCCTAATGTTTAGGTGGAATCTCTTTACCTGCAATTTGGATTTATTGTCCCATACTTTCAAATATTTAAACATGACTATTATGTCTCTTTGTCTTCTCCAAGAAAAACATATCCAGTTCTCTAAGCTGTACCTTATAGGGATTGGCTTCTGTAGTCTAACATATGATGAATTATGACTGACTCCACATTGTATAATTAGTGCAGTTTGACACCACTTTAACTGCTCAGTCCTCTGGAATCCTGGGTTTTATAGTTTGGTGAGAAACTAACAGTCTTTTGCAGGGAAGGCTAAAGACCTTTTAATTCTGAAACTCTCACTAATCTATAGCCTTGAGCCATGGCACTTAGAGTAGTATCAAATGGCATTAATTTTACAGTGTAGATGAAACTCAAATTGTGAAGCAGAAAGGTGAATGAGTGTATCATGATTAAAGCAAAATAAGACCTGCTTAAGGCAAATGTCACCTTAACTTTAGATATTATGCATACCATTTGCTTTATCTATCTACATAAGATACAATGGGATATTATAACAGGATTTTAGCTTCTTTTTTCTCTCAATGAGTTGTGCCATCTGTAGTCATTGCCTGGATTCCTTGAAGCAAGTGTATTTCAAGCAGGCGCCAACTTACACAGCTTAGTGGTTTTCATTGTCACCGCTCCGATGCAATAGTTAGAGCAGAGCTTTCTAAAAATTTCACATTGGTGACACATTTTAAAGATATGCATCATTTTGTGACGCAGGAATTCAGTTTGACTAGCAAATCAGAAGTTTATATTTATCGTATCAGGAGTGAACCAATGTGTTTGAGAAAACATGAAGTTAAAAAAACTAAATGTCCTTTGTACATTGGAAGACCTTTTTATAGCAACACCAGAGGCACTCCAAGTGGCCTGCTACTGGTCAAAGGACAAATCAGAGGTTACAACTATTCCTCATAAGAGATACGAACACATATATAAATTGCAATAACGAAATGAGTTTGATACTTCTGGGTTAGAGGGAAGTTGGAGGTTTTTCTCTCTCTTCCAGTTAGGTTTTCTCTGCCACCCTTATTGTATTGAATCTAACTTTCCAGTGGGACCTGGTGTGTGAGAAGAAAGGCCTGAACCAAGCAATTGCTACTTTCTTCTTCATAGGCGTCACCCTTGGCTCTGTCTTTTTTGGCTACATGTCGGACAGGTAAGCCTCTATTTATGTTCATCCTCCAGAAATGGGAATTATGCAGCCTTCCTGACATTGAAGGGGTATCTCCCCAGGGAAAAAAATGAAAGGGTTGTGTGTGTGTGTGTGTGTATCCAACCTTATCCAATCTTTGCTTATCCAATGTTCTGCAATATCCAATGCAGTCTGCCTCCTGCCCAGATCCACAGCTGTTTCAATACATTGCAATGTTTTGGTGCTAAATTCGTAAATACAGTAATTACTACATAACTTTACTATGTATTGAACTGCTTTTTCTGTCTATTTGTTGTAAAACATGATGTTTTGATGCTTAATGTGTAAAATCATAACGTAATTTGACATTTGATAGGCTTTCCTTTAATCCCTCCTTATTATCCAACATTTTCACTTATCCAACATTTTGTTGGCCCATTTATGTTGGAGACTCTGCTGTATACACACACACACACACATACACACACACAAGCTTCAGGTAATAAACAAAAATTAAAATGTATTGAGGGTAGAAATCATGCTGCCCTTCACATGTTGTTGGATGTCAGCTCATACATTTCCTTGATGTTCACTCTGCTGTAATTTGGGCTGCTGGAAGTCATAGAATCACACTGAAGGAACTAGAAATTCCTAGAAAAATGTTCTGGCAGAAGCTGACCATGGAGCTGCAACAAGGACATAGATTTCTGGATAAATGTTCTGATAGGAGGTGACCAGAGAGTTGCACTAGAGCAGGCATGGGCAAACTTCGCCCCTCCGGGTGTTTTGGACTTCAACTCCCACAATTCTTAACAGCCTCAGGCCCTTTCCTTTTCCCTGAGGAAAAGGAAAGGGCATGAGGCTGTTAGTTATTGTGGGAGTTGAAGTCCAAAACAACCGGAAGGGCGAAGTTTGCCCATGCCTGCTCTAGAGAACCCAGAAATTTCTAGAAAAGTGTTCAGACAGAAGTTGACCATCAAATTGGAGTGGAGGACCTAATGATTCCAAGAAAGAACTTTTTAATTATCTCTGTGAATAGTCAAAAGTCAAATCTGCAAATATGAAGAGCAGATTCTACAGAGTTCTACAAGTATATCAACAACTGTCTTAATTCATGTGTCACCTTTCTTCTAGATTGAGTGGCCATACAATTAATAAACCATTAAAATTACATTAAGAGGTTCCAACAAAATCCCATCATTGTTTGTGACCCAGACTGTTGCGGCCTCTACTTTTTCTCCATAAAGGATAATGTGGTGCCTTGGTATCATGAGCAGGAGGACATGGAAGTAGCAGGTCCTGAGGACCTCATTGGTGCATCAATATCAATGTCACTTAGAGCCTTGGCACCTCCTGATTAAGTCATCCCAACCCCCTTGGAGAGGGGCATGTTGGCAAAAATCAATATGCATTGATCTATCTTTACCGTGGTTCAATGTGCAGCCTACCTCATTCTTAATAAAGAGCTGAAATAGAAGACAGATCTCCTTGTCTCCAAAGAGCTGAAGGTGGTGTGACAGAGGAGTTGGGGACCCAAAATAACTTTTTCCTCTCACTGTCATCTTTGTGCATATATTTCACAGGGTTTTGAACTGCTTCCAAATCCTCAAAACCTGTTTATACAGAGGCAACAGAAGGACGCATAAAATCTATACAGATCACAGGCAACATTGTCTCTGTATCCCTGGGCATGGAATTATATTTATCTAGTCATCCATCCAGACCTGCAGTTTTGACTTTTGCAGATTATTCACGGACTTTATTAAAGTCTTTAGCCCTGAGGCCAAAATGAATGGTTTCCTCTCTTCTCTGACTCTCTGCATCCTATGAGTTTATTCCTGAGCCTCATTCCCATTGACTCACAGATAATGGGGAACAATTTCAACATAATTCCTGTTGAATTTGATTTTCCATCATTTTAGATTTAAATAGGCATGCTGATTTCAAAACTGCAGTTAGTTTTCTTCTATCAAATCAAGTTTTTTTCGCTACAGCTTATCTTAATGCGACTTCAGCCTTCAAAAGAGAAGGCTGAGAGGAGACTTGATGAGGGCCATGTATAAATATGTGAGGGGAAGTCATAGGGAGGAGGGAGCAGGCTTGTTTTCTGCTGCCCTGGAGATTAGGACTCAGACCAATGGCTTCAAACTACAAGAAAGAAAGGAGATTCCAGTTGAACATTAGGAAAAAACTCCTGACTGTGAGAGCTGTTCAGCAGTGGAACTCTCTGTGTGGTGGAGGCTCCTTCTTTGGAGGCTTTTAAACAGAGGCTGGATGGCCATCTGTTGGGTGCTTTGAATACAATTTTCCTGCTTCTTGGCAGGGGGTTGGACTGGATGGCCCATGAGGTCTTTTCCAACTCAATCATTCTATAAGTCTATGACAACCACTCTAAGCTGGATTGAGGGAAGTACTAGAGCTCTCCTGTTGGCTGGAGTGGGGGACGACGTTGGAGACCAGTGACAGGCTCATACTTGTCTAGGCCATTCAGTTACACCCGAGACAGTGTGTGGTGAGAGGTTGTGTGCTGCTCTACATAGGGAATCATTTTTATTTTTTATTTACATTCCTACTTATGTAAATGTAAGTGACAGCAACAATGAAGATTTTGAAATTGAAGATGACTCAATTTTCTTAAGGGATTTGATCTGCATGAGTTGAATGAATTGCCATGAGGTCTGGGAGTATCCAAAAGGGCTTCAGAACCCCTAACATCTCTACTACACAAGAAAAACTTCCTTGAAAGAGGAGCAAAGCCATCCTATCTTTGAACAAGAAGAAGTGCATGTCTGCAGTACTGTTGAAATGATGGTGGCTTTGTGCATGGCCATAACATACATGGTTTAATGGAGGAATTGGGAATTCCAATCTATAACATAACTGGATGGCTAAGCTTGAAGTGTGTCCTCCACAATGGCAATTTATTTGGTGTAGTCCCAACTGACCAATCAGTTTGTTTTTGTGAAGAATATGAAGAAATAAAGAGAGTCATTGACTGGTTGCAATATCACAAGCACAATTGGATCATGTGTGTTGACATTAAAACTGTCTGCTTCCTTCTTGGCCAGCAACACGGATACACCAAGTATCCCTGTTTTCTGTGTATGTGGGACAGCAAAGCTTTGGTGGAGGTCCGATTGGCCTCCAAGATTTGACCTCAAACCTGGTGATCCAAACATTCTGTATGACAGAAAGAACATTATATTCCTGCCTCTGCATATAAAACTGAGTCTCATGATGCAATTTGTTAAAGCTTTGCCAACTGAAGGAGACTGTTTCAAGTATTTCACTGTTGTACTCTCACACTGAAACACCTTCTCACCCAGCACCACACCAGAATCCATTAATTCTATCTAAAAACATTTATTAAAGAAAGTATATAAAAAGGGGAACAGGGGCACTTCCAAAAGAATCAGTAGCATAGAAAATACAAAATAGCAGTAATCCAAAAATGAGAAAGAACATAAAGTCAAGGAAACAAAAATCCACGGCAGTATTCCAGACATAAATCCATGAACATGAAAACAGGAACTTTTCCAAGATAAACTCTCCAAAGAAATGCATAAGCAAGTACAAGAAACTTGAGAGTACTTGGACAAAAACTTGAGAGTAGAAACAGGAGAAGAATCTCATATAGTAACATTGTCTCCTCTGAGAGGCCTGAAACCAGACCACTTAATTTAAATCCTCTAAGACACCCATGATATCATATCTGACACATCTGGACTTCAGGGTCTTATCTTGGATTCTCTGAGAATATCTAGTTTGCCTGTTTTTCACTCCCTGCATTCTCAGGTCTAATCTTGTTTCCCAGGAAAACTCCCCATCTGCCCAAGGCCTTTTCTCAAGGGAACTGGAATTTTCACTTTCCCCTGTTGTCTGGGAACAAGCACAAGAATCCAAAGCATCAGCCTTGTCTGCCTGAGATTTTCTCCAATCACTCACAGACTCCTTAATTTGAAACCATCATCCCCCTCATCCTCTGAACATTCAGAAAAATCCTCTGATGCTTGCCAGACAACAACACTCATTTTGGCATTCTGTAGCCTGTTGTTTGAAAAGATAAAGACTGGTGTGATTGACGGTTCACAGATTCGGCAGCTCATTAAAGATTAACATTTCATTGGGACAATGTCAGAACTCCAAAATAATGCTTGGTCATCATTCAAAAACCTTGTCAAGGACTTTCTTGGAAATACATGAGCACAGAATTACATCAAAATTGTCCAGAATTTCTTGGAGAGCTTCAAAATGCTTGGTTGCAACACGAGCATCAAGGTGCATTTTTTTGCATAGCCATCTTGCTGACTCCCCAAAAAACTTTGGTGCAGTCAGTGATGAGTGAGGTGAATATTTCCACCAAGATTTGAAGGTCGTGGAGGCACTGTATCAGGGTTGTTGTTGTTTATTCGTTCAGTCATCTCCGACTCTTCGTGACCTCATGGACCAGCCCACGCCAGAGCTCCCTGTCGGCCGTCACCACCCCCAGCTCCTTCAAGGTCAGTCCAGTCACTTCAAGGACCCTCTTCCTTTTGCCTTCCACTTTGATGGCCAACTATTGTTGGAGCATCAGGCAAGATTGTCCACAGAATAAACATTCCAGGAAAAGCAATAAGCGTAAATTTTGACCTTAATATATATGTTTGGTAGTAGAACTTTACTACGTAAACACAATTCAACTTACAGTAACAATATATATCTTTTGTGTGAATAAAATAACAAAATAAACAGCATATTCAGGTAATTTTTCCTTTCCTTTCCTTTGTATGTCCATTTTGTTTGACAAAGGGAAGGTATCCTGTACCTTAAAAAGTTGACATGCTAGAAGAAACTGGGGTCATTTTTGGATTCAGTAAAAAATCAGTGTTAGATCTAATTCAACAAAGATCCTGTTCCCCGTGCACAAGAAACACGTGTATAAGGCTGGATCTATACTGCCCCATATCCCAGGTTCTGATCCCAGATTATCTGTTTATTCCAGATTATTTGGCAGTGTAGACTCACAGAATCCACTTCAAAGCCGATAGTCTGGGATCAGATCCTGGGATATAAGGCAGTGTAGATCCAGCCTAATAGAAAATGCAGCTTCAGTTGACTTGTGATTAGTTCATTTATCCACAAGAAGTCACTGTTGGCTCGTCTTGATACAGATAAAGCACATGGCCTATTAAAGCTCAAATCCAACCAGGAAATGTATCTTTTCCTCTTCTCTTTTTGTTTTCACTGCCTGGGATAACATACCTTTAGGACAGGAATGGGCAACTGTGACTCTGCAGATATTTCTGGACTGCAAGTCACACCATCCACACTGATAGGGGATTGGGGGAACTGCATCCTTGCTTGGGATGTATAATTTGTTCCCACACTGATGTAAATATGACAATTCAGAGTTCTGGTAATTGTAATGTGCTTGCCATTTGAGTCAAAATGGGACAGAACTTTAATCTTTTGAATTATAAATAGAATAATATTCCAGCAAGCATGGTCCACTGTAGTTGGTAGACCAAAAAAGGTAACTTACATTGGAGCTTTGTAATATAAATCTCTGTATACAAAGTACTGGACCAAGGCACCAAACATGCAAACAGGCTTAGCACAGCAGGCTAAACTGCTATGCTGCAGAAAAATCCTGCCAATTGGAAGGTCAGCAGTTTGAGCTCTGGCAGGGTGAGCACCTGCTGTTAGCTCCAGCTCACCTATCCACCTAGCAGGTCGAAAGCAGAAATATGACTAGATAAAATAGTCATATTTCTGGGGAGATAATAAAGGTGCCTTTAAAAAGGACATCATCGATCAGAGGAAAACTTGACATGGAAGATATAATGACAGCTCCCCCCTGTGGCCGGAGTAGAGCAGAGCCTCCAAGATGCTGGAAATAAGATGGGAAAAACTGCCTCTGCCTCTGTTTGTGTTTTCTGTCCTTGTTGATTATATAATTGGCATTGAATGTTAGCCATATTGTGTTCTGTAAGCCGCTCTAAGTCTCCTTCAGGGTGAGAAGGGCAGGGTATAAATACTGTAAACAAATGAATGTGCCAGTTGGGATGTGAATCCATGTAGCTGCACAACTGTGCATTGTTCATGCAATGCCTCATACACACCCATAGCACAGTGTCTCTTCTTCAAAATCATAATTTGGCAATCCATCCATTGAGAGTATGTTGGATCACATGTTGTCTCTCTTTCACTTCTCAGACTTAGACAACAAATGTACTATGAATCAGTTTTTGCGTTCTTTTTCTCATTTCTCTGAAAAATAGCTCATATGATCTTTTAAAATCCCTATCCAGGTTTGGCCGGCGGACGATGCTTCTGGTCTCCTCCTTCATCACAGTGTTTTTTGGGGGCATGAGTGCCTTTTCAGTGTCTTACTGGATGTTTGTCACCTTGAGGACCATCTCTGGGGTGGGGCTCACAGGCATGTCCATCATCTCCTTGATTCTAGGTGAGGATATCATTATCTCATCTGCCTGTTTGGACTATTTTGGAGTATTCTGGATTTTGGAATCCTGGGTAAGGGGTGCTCAGCTTATATTTTGAACACCCTCAGTAGGGGCCTGAGGCTGTTACAAATGGTGGGAGTTGAGGTCCAAAACACCTGGAAGGCCCAGTTTGCCCATGCCTGCTCTACACCATCAAATTAATGCTCGTTGACACACTTGGACTGCCTTTACAAGGTCATTAGCCGTTTCTGCCAAAGAGTACTGGCACCTCACCAAGCTACAAATCCCAGGATCCCACGGCAGTACAAGCGTTGTCAAGCTGCATTCATTTTGCAGTGTAGATTCATCCTGCAAAATGCTGGTGGATATGATGATCAAGTCTTCAATTGTTGTCCTTTCCAGTTCAAAGGACTGATGCAATGATAGGTAAGACCATCTACCAAAAATTCTGGTGAACCTGTTCTAGTCAGACAAGCACAAAGTGCACTGGGTATAAGATTAGTACTTTGGCCTCAAGGGAAACAATTTCTTGTGTTACCATTTTATTACACCCGTTTTGCAGCAGTATCTTCTTCACAATGTATCAGATTGCATGGTATGGCTACAATCATCTTCTGTGTTGGTTTCAGCTCTCCTGTTATAAAACATGAGTGCACAACCATCTTGAGACCTACTTCCCATAACATTTAATAATCACAGCAAGCATATCTCTACTTTCCAGCATATTATAATAGGTTATCATCCTGTTATCACTGAAACAGAATCAGAGAGCTATATTGGTTTGAATGCTGGACTATGACCCTAGAGACCAGGCACTGAAAAGGGGTTGTGGCTATATCTCCCAGTGGGTTTGCACACACTGGACCTCATCACACTAGAGGAGCCCCCGGTGGCACAGTGGGTAAAGCCCTTGTGCTGGCAGGACTGAAGACCGACAGGTCGCAGGTTCGAATCCGGGGAAAGCGTGGATGAGCTCCCTCTATCAGCTTCTGCTCCTCATACAGGGACATGAGAGAAGCCTCCCAAAAGGATGATAAAACATCAAAACATCCTTGCAGACAGCCAATTCTCTCACACCAGAAGTGACTTGCAGTTTCTCAGTCACTCTCCAACATTCATCACATTAGAGAATGAATCTATTTTAAATCTGGTTTCTGTCTCCTGCAGAATTCTGGGGTTTGTAGTTTAGTGAGGCTGTTCAAGTCTCCTCCTTAAACTACAAACCTCAGAATTCTGCAGGAGGCAGAAACCAGATTTAAAGTGGATTCATTCTCTCGTGCGATGAAGTAGTAATTGCGTGGAAACATCTTTGCATCTGCAGTGAGCAAGGTTGGATGACTACATCTTCTTTATTATGTCTTTGCAATAGCTAGGAAAATGGACAGATGAAGTTGAATATATTGTGTCACACAAAGAATAAATTGAAGGAAAAACTGTTTCTGTATTTTATTAACAGCTGTGGAATGGACTGATATCAAGCATCGCACCTTCTGTGGCACCATTAGTGGGATGTCCTGGTCTTTGGGGTACATGCTCTTGGCACTGATTGCTTATCTGATTCGGTCCTGGCAATGGCTTGTACTTGCAGTCACATGTCCCTGCCTCCTCAGCATTGCTGTTTGGTGGTGAGTGACTCTGGAGCTCCTCTAAGCCATAATATATACTAGGGGTTTCAAAACGTTTCCCATACATATCGCATGTTGCTGGTTATTCCTTTTCCAAGCCTTCCCCAATGTTCCCATTCTTATATTATTTCTTCCTTCTCTTCTGCCCCTTCACCGTGCAATGTGAGGGCTGAAACGGTGACGTTCACATTTGCTGTTTTATCTTCATAGCCTAGAAAATTCCAGTCTTTTGGACTACAGCTCCCACAACCCTTCAACCAAACTGTCCCTGATCATACTATTACCTATCATGCTGGTTTGTGGCACAAAAGTAACTTTCCCAAGTTTTTTATATCTTGAATGTCATGGGAGCCAACAGTGCTTGAGAGAACATTGGATAGGAGATAGTCTCATTGTCAGCCAGGTGCTAGGAGGTGATAGAACCAGGACCTTGGAGAGCTTCATCTGTGATCAGAACCTTGGAAAGCTTCATGCTTGACAGATATGGAGATTGTGTATTCCTCTTGGATCAGAGTAACTCTCCCAGGCCCCTCCTGTCCAATGCAAGTTACTTGAGAGCCTTAACGAATCTAGCCCTCATAATATCTTGATGAGTTCTCATGTGAATCTCTATCCTCCCCTAAACACTTAGAATCCATTGAGGGTATGATTTATGATGGAGCCCATCCTGTCAGCGTCCATCATGCTTTTTTAGGGAAATGTCTGAAACAGTCCAAAGGGAGGGGGGAAAGATGGTTAGAGATCATCTTCTGGATTCAGGAACTGGGATATAACTGGAGAAAATACCCAAAAACATGTAGGATAAGTGCTGTCAAATTTGCTTGGGTTGAATCTTGGGGACAGTCTAAAGCAGTGGTTCTCAACCTGGGGTCCCCAGATATTTTTGGCCTACAACTCCCAGAAATCCTAACAGCTGGTAAACTGGCTGGGATTTCTGGGAGTTATAGCCCTAAAACATCTGGGGACCCCAGGTTGAAAACCACTGGACTAAGGGATGTTTTTGTGGGTGGTCCCCTGCCAAGCATTCACATTTCTCTCCCAAAATCCTGCTTCATGAATGTGGCATGGTATTTTTTAAATTAATGTAATCATTCAAAATATTACATTTCAAAATATCTTTGTTTTTCCTGCCTGTACTGCTAGCTTCTTGGACTTCTGCAATGGAGAGTACTAAGAAGCCCAATATTTCCAGAGTGCTGTCTCTTTAAGTCAGTGCTTCCATTCTACTGCAGAGCAGCAGGGTGGGAGGTGTGGGAATGCTGATATCTCCAGAGTTTTTCCCCCAAGGGTTTCCTTTAAAAAAAAATTAAGGGGGGTATGGTATGGAACTGCACCTGCTGGTGTGATAAATCTGAAAATGGATTGTTTCTGGAGAAAAAGCAAGAATGAAAGTGATAAGGAATGACAAATGGAACTATGTCCTTTGTAACTCTTAAGGACTAAATGCCATGGTAATAGGATCCCCATTTTCCTGAAAAGGTTATGACTCTTAAAAAGAAATTCTGGCATCATTTTTCAAAAGGTTGTGACTTCTAACAAGGTTATCCCTTTCCAAAGATCATACAATCTCCAAAAGGTTCTGGAGATTGCCATTTTCCAAAACAGCTGATAGTTCAACCACTAGCCATGAACTTGGAAAAAAACTTTTTTAAACTCATTGTTATAATTTCCACAACTCCTCAGCCAGTACGGCCATATTTTGTGATTTCCATATGTGGCTCCAGAACCCCCATTGTTTGGGAAATAAAAAGTTTCAGGGGAAAAAAAATCAGGAGAGCAAAACTCCCCAAGACACTTAAGGAAACAGTACAGCCCCCAATTTACAACAGTTGCCTACTTCGATCTAGTTCATCAGGTACCTATCTCTCCCATTTTCTTGTTTTAATAAGTATTTCCTCCCAATGACTAATGTACAAGGGTATCTATTTGTCTTTTGCTAGCACTTCCAAGTGATGTCCACATTGAAACACTTCTCTGTTGGGAAGAGCTCCAAGGGAAATGGCTAATTCCTTTCCAAATTTCTTTGGACCTGCATGAATCTCCTTCCACCCACCAACCAGCCCACCCATCTGCATCTCTCCCAGCTGGCAATTGTCCCCTTTTGCTTTGCAGAATGTCTTGTCTATCTCTTTCTAGGTGGCTTCCAGAATCTGCCCGGTGGCTTCTGACTAAGAAGGAAGTGGAGACAGCACACGGTTATCTTTCCAAATGTGCCAAAGTAAATGGCAAAGAAGATTTCCCCTCCAAAATAACTCCAGAAGTGAGTACTGTGAGTTCCATAAAGCCACATACCAGGGCACACCTAATTCAACTCAGCACCTCCAAAACTTTGTCCCCTCAAATGGTTGACCACCACCTACAACAGTGGTTCTCAACCTGTGGGTCCCCAAGTGTTTTAGCCTACAACTCTCAGAAATCCCAATCAGTTTACCAACTGTTAGGATTTCTGGGAGTTGAAGGCCAAAACATCTGGGAACCCACAGGTTGAGAACCACTGACCTAGAAACTCTGGGTTGTGCTATTTCCCAGTAAACACAATTCTGCCTTCTACCAGACTACTTTGCGGTCTTAAAAGGTCTTCTTTAGAAATGAGATGATTAAAAAATAACACTCTGGGTTGCTATGAAGTTTTCCAGGCTGTATGGCCATGTTCCAAAAGCATTCTCTCCTGATGTTTCACCCACATCTATGGCAGGTATCCTCAGAGGTTGTGAGGTCTGTTGGAAACTAGGCAAGTGAGGTTTATATATTTGTGGAATGTCCAGGGTGGGAGAAAGAACTCTTGTCTGCTTGAGGCAAGTGTGAATGTTGCAGTTGGTCACCTTGATTAGCATTGAATGGCCTTGCAGCTTCAAAGCCTGGCTGGTGGCTGTCTGGGGGATGCTTTGTTGGGAGGTGTTAGTGGGCCCTGATTGTTTCCTGTCTGAAATTCTCCTGTTTCTTGAGTGTTCATCATTATTTACTGTCCTGACTTTAATACTAGTAGCCAGATTTTGTTCATTTTCATGGTTTTCTCCTTTCTGTTAAAATGCATGTGGATTTCAATGGTTTTGAAGCTGCAAGGCCATTAAATGCTAATCAAGGTGGCCAATTGCAACATTCACACTTGCCTCAAACAGACAAGAGTTTTTTCTCCCACCCTGGACATTCCACAGATATATAAACCCCACTTGCCTAATTTCCAACACACCTCATAACCTCTGATAATGCCTGTCATAGATGTGGGTGAAATGTCAGGAGAGAATGCTTCTGGAACATGACCATACAGCCCAGAAAACTCACAGCAACCTATTTATTTATTTATTTATTTATTTATTTATTTATGCGCTTGTATACCGCTAATATCTCAGCCTAAGTCGGCGACTCATTGCGGTTTACAACACTTTCATGTCCAGAATCACCTAGTGATTCTGGACATGAAAGCCTTCTCAACTAACATACTTTTAATTTGTTAACACTTTTAAAGATCTCAAAACAGGGCCTGGGGGATGAAATAATATATCACATTCCCAGTCTTCTCGAGGGTAGGGTTTGGGGCTACACATATTTGGAAGCATGGGGGTTTCCAAGACAGGTGCAATCTTTCAATTCCAGAGCCAGGTGAGAAGCAACCCAAGGTCTGAGATTTCCCCTCCCTCCAAATCTGAGATGTAGAGCCAATGCTGGTGATGTCCTGAACATTCAGCATTAACTACATTATATTGTTTAAAGCTATATAGTGTGTTAAATCCCACAACAGAATTCATCAGCTGCAGAGCAGACCACAAGACTTCCTAATATGTACTTTATTTTTTGGATGTAGATCTTGAGAAAGTCTGTGACCATAGAAGAATCAAGGACCTATTTCTACTGGCACTTGGTTAAAACTCCCAAGCTAAGGAGGATCACCATATTTTCCGCCATTGTATGGTATGGACATGCACCTGAAGCTATTGATGGTTGCTACAGAATTTGCTTTGAAAGAGTAAACTCTTCTTGCTACTTTCTATAAGCTGAGATCCTAAATTGGGAAACATATCACAAGGATCCTCATAAATAGGAAGAGCTATAATACATTTCCTCCTCACCTCTCCCACCAACTCAACTTGAAAACCCACTACAGCAGTGTTTCTCAACCTTCCTAATGCTGCAACCCTTTAAAATAGTTCCTCATGTTGTGGTGACCCCCAACCATAAAATTATTTTCATTGCTACTTCATACTGTAATTTTGCTACTGTTATGAATCGTAATGTAAATATCTGATATGCAGGATGTATTTTCATTCACTGGAACAAATTGGCACAAATACCCAATATACCTATATTTGAAACTGGTGGGGGGGGGGGGGGGGGTTGGTTTTGTCATTTGGGAGTTGTAGTTGCTGGGATTTATAGTTCACCTACAATCAAAGAGCATTCTGAACTCCACCATCGATGGAATTGAACCAAACTTGGCACACAGAACTCCCATGACCAACAGAAAATACTGGAAGGGTTTGGTGGGCATTGACCTTGAGTTTTGAGTTGTAGTTCACTTACATCCAGAGAGCACTGTGGACTCAAACAATGATGGATCTGGACCAAACTTGGCATGAATACTCAATATGTCCAAATGTGAACACTGGTGGAGTTTGGGGAAAGACCTTGACATTTGGGAGTTGTAGTTGCTGGGATTTATAGTTCACCTACAATCAAAGAGCATTCTGAACCCCACCAATGATAGAATTGGGTCAAACTTCCCACACAGAACCCCCATGACTAACAGACAATACTGTGTTTTCTAATGGTCTTTGGTGACCCCTCTGACATCCCCTCACGACCCCCCAAGTGGTCCCAACTCCCAGGTTGAGAAACGCGACACTACAGCCTCCTGATACAGCTCATTGTTCTCATTTTACTCATCTTCTTTAAGCACATTTGCAATGACATACAATTCCAAAGAGTCTTCTTGCTCCTGAAACATAAGCCAATTTATTATCACATAAGCTTTTGTGGGCAAGAACCCATGTAGTCAGGAACAGAAAATGCCATCCAGAATGGTATATACTAACATCTTGTTCAATAGATATGAGATCATAGGCTGGCCTCATGATTCAGTGTAATGACATTCCAGTGATAACATATAAGTTGTACTACAGGTCTCTCATTTGCTTTGCAGGTTTGGCGTCTCCTTCACCTATTACGGCATCAGCTTAAACATTGGGGGTTTCAGCTTGGATCCATATCTGACACAGTTAACGTTTGGGGCCATTGAGATTCCTGCCAAACTTGGTGTGTATTTTGTCCTGGATCATATTGGCCGCCGACATTGCCAGGGATGGTCTCTCATTGTAACAGGATCCCTGATCGCATTAAATACAATCATCCCTGCAGGTGAGAAATTCCTCTTCCTGATTGTGTAGCCATCACTTTGCAAATCAAATGGATTATTCCTGTGAGAAATCATCAATTATTATTCCTCCCAAAGCCCAGAATCTTTATTAATTCACAGTAAGTATGATAAAAGTGTGGTCTACAGGTGGCATGTAGTCTCAGCCCATTTTTCTGCGCTTGAGGTGTTCCCTAAACCCACCAAATAATTCCCAAGCACCTAATTTTTGCTGAGATATGATACCCCAAATACTACTGCTTTCACCCCTAATACTTCTTGACTCCCCAAAACAATATTCTGATTTTCTGCAAAAAGCAGCCAAAACATCCATATATAAACAATGGAAGTAGACTAGTTATTTGTGGGATGAATGTACAGACAGACACAGACACATTTAACATCCAGCTTTTCCAGCTTCATGAGGGTATGCTCTATTCTGGCTCGATTCTGGCCACAGGGGGAGCCTCCACTTCACCGTCCACTTGTGACACCAAGTCCTTTGATGGAGTACTTCCTCATTCTTCTTCACGTTGCATCGTAAATTAGTTAAATTACCCCCCCCCCCCCGGCATAAAGTGGTACCTAAATTTCCTACTTGACAGATGCAACTGTCTTTCAGGCTGCATAGGTAGACAGCAAGGTAGACTATTCATGGCCGAGAGCTTACTCCAACCCGGGATGGCTTCGAACTCATGGCCTCTTGGTCAGTAGTAATTTAATGCAGCTAGCTACTAACTAGCTGTATCACAGTCCGGTCCTACATATGGTTGGGGCCAAAACCAAAGATGATATCACAACATCTATAGATGACAATGAGATATAGAAGAGGGGAGAATTTCCTGTGGTTTCTGCTTTTCCTAATGCTTCACATGAATGGCACAATGACCTAGAGTGAATCACATTTCCTGTTGCTTCTTTATCAGAACATGGACATGTCAGATCAGCTGTGGCCATCTTGGGGAAAGGTTTCTCAGAAGCCGCCTTCACTACTGTCTTCCTATATACTGCTGAGCTTTACCCTACTGTACTCAGGTAAGGGACTTAGCCACTGACTGAGCCCAAGACCAAAGAGCTTCAGAGCTGTAGGGTGGAAGGAAGTCAAGCTCATCTTCTTCATTGGGCAATATCATAAGTACAGGGGTAAGAACCTTTGAATTGTGGAAATTGAAATCCAAATAACGAGATAACCTTTGGACTTCAATCCTCATAATTGATCTGAGTTCCAATCCCCATGGTTCATTACCATTGACCATGCTTGGTGGAGTTTTGGGGAGGGGAAGTCCAAAACACCTGAAGAAGCAAAGGTCCTCCTTCCATTTAAAGAGGTCTCTTCTCTTGATGCTTCTTAAAGTTTATTCGATAAAGCAGTGGTTCTGAACCTGTGGGTTCCCAGATGTTTTGGCCTTCAACTCCCAGAAATCCTAACAGCTGGTAAACTGGCTGGGATTTCTGGGAGTTGTAGGCCAAAACATCTGAGGACCCACAGATCGAGAACCACTGCTGTAAAGGAACGCAAAAACCAACTCAGGTGGACATGAGATGTATTATTAGGCTTAATGATCAACAAAGCCCCCAGTGGTGCAATGGGTTAAACCCTTGAGCCGGCAGGACTGCTGATCTGAAGATTGCTGGTTTGAATCTGGGGAGTGCGTAGATGAGCTCCCTCTGTCAGCTCAAGCTTCCCATGTGGGGACATGAGAGAAGCCTCCCACAGGATGGTAAAACATCAAAACATCCGAGCATCCCCTGGGCAACATCCTTACAGATGGCCAATTCTCTCACACCAGAAGTGACTTGCAGTTTCCCAAGTTGCTCCTGATACGATTAAAAAAAAATCAAAATCTGATTAAGTAAATCTGAGGCTAGATCTATACATCTGGTTGAATGAGCTAAGGAAAAGTCTCTCTAAGATGACAGAATGCACAATACCACCAAACTGCAAATCAAAACACATACCCCACAAGTAGAAAAGGAGCACCCTCAAAAAATCAGATTATTGTTTCTTCAAGAGAGGAGTCTGGCCAGTACCGTAAACCTGCTTCTTGTTACATTTTCAGGCAAAGTGGTGTCGGCTGTTGCTCGTTTGTGGCACGGCTTGCCAGCTCCATAGCTCCTCTGGTCATGTTACTGGATGACACATGGAAATACCTTCCACCCATGATATTTAGTGTGGTGGCCGGGTTGGCTGGATCTGTGGCTTTTCTACTGTCAGAGACCACTAACATTCAGTTGCCAGAGACAATTCAAGATGTGGAAGGTGACAGGTGAGTGACTTAAATTTACGTAGATACCTGGTGAGTATCTTAGAGTCTGCATTGACCACTTAAACTGATTGCACTCTCCCCCTTTTTAGTATAGTAGTTCATTTTCTGTATATGTACATTTAATAGTTATGTCTATGGAGCATTTTAATGCATTTGAGCAAATGTTTCCCGGATTTTATCGTATAATAGTTGTCACCACATAATAGTCGCACCCTCATTTTTTTGGCTGTCAATAATGGCATTTTTGTTGTCCTTGCATAATAGTCACATTCCCAATTTTGGCTGATTTTTGCTTCGTTCCTTTCTCAAAAAGCAAAGCAGTTCAAAAACTATAAAATGGAGGTGTCTGTAGCTCCACTCTTCTCTCCTCCCTCCTTCTTCTGAGGCAAGGTAATTTACAAAACCTGGAATGGAGTTCTTTGGAGAATGGGAAAAGGAAGGAAGATCTGAATTTCAGGGACCTCCATTTCAGGTATTATTTTACTGACTCAAAATGTAGCATGACACAGCAAATGAGATATATATGCTGGATTTCACATCACAAAATCACAAGTCCCAAGCATTTAGGAGTATGTGATATATTTTTGAATGATGCTCACAGATCCAAGTAAGGTGGCCTTTTGCAGTTGACAGATTGTGATTCTGTCAATGTTTATTATTTGCAAATGCCAGCTGAGATCTTTTGGCACGGCACTCAGTGTGCCGATTACCACTGGGACCACCTGTACTGGTTTATTGTCCCCCCATTGTGTGCCACCTTGCCCCCCCCCCATTGGGTGCCACCTTGTCGTGATAGGAGGCTTACCTGCTCCAACGATGCTAAGATCTGTGCTGGCGGTAGTGTAACTACCAGCAGTCCCAACCAAGTCAGAGAGGTCTCATCTGAGGATTGTAATTAAGAGCACTTACCTATTAGCCCTATGGAGAAACAAACCAAAACGAAGTCTATACTGGCTTGGTCGTCACCCTGCATGAAAAGGACTGCGGTGGATGCTGCTGGTTCTGGACATCCATCAACATGCGGGGTACAGAATCAAAATACAAATGAACAATCACAGAAGCAACAGAAATATACAATGCTAGAAAACTGCACAGTTATGAAATGCCATTACAAATCAGAACCTCAAAAACGTGGCTACTAGAAAAGGTATTATTTATTTATTTATATTTATCCCACTTTTCTCCCATAGGTGGGATTGAGCTTTTTTTTTTTTAAACTGCTTTGCCTTGGAGTAAGGAGAGAGTAAATCAACCTTTGTCCCTTGGGTCCCAGTGGTAGGAGCTCTCTGTTTCTATACCCATCTCCTAGCTCCCTCCAACCGTATATGTTTTTATAGAGCAATATTATACCCCCTGCCCTGAAGTCATGTTTATGCTCTAACCTAAACAAGGCAGGAACTATAGTAAGTTCTTTGTAACTGTGGAACCAACATCCATGGTCTCACTTATCAGTGCTCTGGGGAAAAATAGTCTCTTTAAGAATTTGCTACATTCACTAGGGGATTCCATGGTAAGCTTCTCCTAGAACTGGAGGACATGAAGGACCTTTAGGTCCTTCAATGAAACTTTTTGGTATGCTGGGACCACAGAGTTGTATGGTGTTGGGACATATCTACCTTCTTCAGGGAACCAAAATCCAGCTGGGAATGCATCTGCCTTGGAGTCCATAGCATTAAGCCATAGAACTTAAAGTGGTGTGAACAAAGCCCTGAATTGTTTGGGACCTTCCTACAGTGACCGCATCTCTGTGTATGAACCCACACGATCCCTTCGATCATCTTGAGAGGCCCTGCTCGCGCTCCCACCTCTATCGCAGGCTGACACAAAATGTAGGGGACGAGGGAGAGGGCTTTCTCGGTGGTGGCCCCTCAACTCTGGAACTCACTCCCCAAGGACATCAGGCATGCCCCAATTGTGGCAGTCTTTAGGAGGAGCCTGAAAACGTGGTTGTTCCAGTGTGGCTTCCCAAAATAAGGAAACTCCCAGCAATATGTCCTTGAAATGCACTTTACTATTGATCTAGGAATGTCTGCACGCCCCATCCCTGTCTGAAAACTCTATCCTAGTTCATATCTCATCTGTTCATGCTCAGCATTATTCTTAAATTTTAATTATTACATTTGGCCCAGTCATAGGTTCTAAACATCGTTGTGTTACTGCTATTGTTTATTTTTGTATGAGCTTTATTTTATTGCCTGTATTAATTGTTGTGATTGCTTTATCATTGATGTATTGTGGGCTCGGCCTCATGTAAGCCGCACCGAGTCCCTTGGGAGACGGTAGCGGGGTATAAATAAAGATTATTATTATTATTATTATTATTATTATTATTATTATTATTATTAAGCTGTATTAATTCTACAGTGTAGAGACTCTCTTAGAAAGTGGAAAAGACACTTCTAGCAGGTGTAGTTGTGCTGCTTGAGGTCTGTCAGCTGACCAGCCTGGAATTTTCCATTCCTTCCTTTTCCAGAAACAAGACTCCTTTGGGAGACCAAGCCCATGAGCAAAGCATTGTAGCGGACAGCGGAGGCATTGCTTTGGGGCTGCTGAACCAAATGAACGTGGATGCTCTTCTCCCCGAACCACAGGAAGCCAACAAAGACTGTGACAAGGAAGCAATATCTTCGTAGCACATCATTAGCTAGAGGAACTGACACTTCTGGATGTTAGTCACAAAAATAAAAAAGCAAAAAAATAGAAGCCTGGTAAAATGAAACTAATTGAAGATGACATGCAATAACAGGATGATGTTCAATTGAAATTAAATGCCACTGCGTGACATTTAATTTATTTCTGGTTGTTAGAGTAGGGGAAATTGCCAATACTGACCTTATTGTCTGGCGTATGACATGGAATAAAACACTTGCATGATGTCACGTCTGGCAGCCAGTCCTGGGCATGTGTGGGAGGACAGCAAGGGACTTAAAGACGAAAAGAGCTGCGGATTCTGTATCCCGGCAGATGTGAGGAAATCCAAATGGAAAGATCCAGGCAAACTCCATTCACAATGTTGCCTCTCTCTCCCATCCTATCATTTGTACTTGGTATACTTCCTGCCTGTTGCTCTTATTCTCTTTGCTTATTTAATACATGTCGTTTCTCTCTCATGCATACCTACACACACAATTTATATGTACTAGGCTTTCTCTCAGGGTGCCACCAGTGATTCCCAAACTTTTTTTAGACCAGGGACCACTCTCCGACATTAATGCCAGATCAGTTTTTGGTTAATTTTAGATTCGATTTGGTTATTTGGGTGCTGATTCAGAAAATTGCATTGGATAGACCACAGCAGTGGTTTCTGGTACAGAACATATGCCATCAAGTACTCGCCATCTGCTCACTCACAGAAAACCATATTTAATAAGCCTCGGCACTATAAGGTTTCACAAGACCTGTTGTTCTCATTGCAAAGGTGTAGTAATGGCGAGGCCGCGGACCATATTTTAGTTCTTACGGACCACTGGTGGTCCATGAACCACAGGTTGGGAACCACTAATCTACACTGTAGAATGACTGCAGTTTGACACTACTTGAACTAACATGACTCAATCCTATGGAATCACGGAAGTTGTAGTTTTACGAAGTCTGTAGATGTCTCGATGCTGGTGCCTCACCAACTACAAATTCTAGAATTCCATAATATTGAGCTATGACACTTAAAGTGGTGTCAAACTGTATTAGTTCTGAAGTGTAGATGTAGACGCACCCTCGCTCTCATATACATACATCCCACTCATTTGCACTATACATTCCCTCTTTTACTTTCTTTGTTGTTTGTTGTTCATTCATTCAGTCATTTCCGACTCTTTGTGACCCAATGGACCAGCCCACACCAGAACTCCCTGTCAGCCATCACCTCCCCCAGCTCCTTCAGAGTCAAGCCAGTAACTTCAAGGATGTCATCCATCCATCTTGCCCTTGGTCGGCCCCTTCTTTTTTCCTTGGTCGGCCCCTCTTCCTTTTTCCTTCCATTTTCCCCAGCATAATTGTCTTCTCAAGCTTTCCTGTCTCCTCATCATGTCGCCAAAGTACTTCACTTTGTCTCTAATATCCTTCCCTCCAATGAGCAGTCGGGCTTTATTTCCTGAACTATGGACTGGTTGGATCTTCTCGCTGTCCAAGGCACTCTCAGAACTTTCCTCCAGTACCACAGTTCAAAAGCATATGTTCTGTATTAGGAACTAGAGCTGATGTGGTCTAGCCAATGCAATTTTCTGAATCAACACCTCAAATAATCAAACCAAATGTTAAGTTGACAAAAAACTGATTCATAAGCCTTTTGGTACTAATGTTGGAGAGTGGTCCCTGGTCAAAGTGGTTGCTGGTCAAGTGGTCAAGTGATCCCTGGTCAAAAAAAGGTTGGGAACCACTGAACTACAGGAAAATAAAACCAAAGATATTATCGGGCATTGCCGATTGCTATACTGGCTTCCCACAACAATCTTAACACAACACACTTGAGGGAGAATATAAAAGAAAGTAGTAAGGCAGATCAGCTCTCTGGTAGCTGCAGCAAACATGTCGATCTAATGTSCAATCGGGAATCTGCTTCTTAAAGAAATGCTGGCATTTTGTAATACCTTTAATAGGGCAGCCTCATGTAACAATGGCTTCTTGGTGACGCCRCCCCCCCGCCCCCGGGTTGTCCCACTCTATTCTGATGYGGATTGTTGCCATTATGAACCAGTTGTAAAAGAATTAATTCATACAATCAATAAGTGCTACATTTGACCCTTGGTGTTGCTTAGTATATATCTGTGATCATAGAATTATGATTTTAATGATGTTCTTGTATCCTGCTGTGTTTTAGACGAGTTGTTAGCTATTCTGGGAACTATACAAGGAAAGGTGGGAAATAGAACTTGACTGACATTACTTTGGAACTGTCAAAATATATTCCTGGTTTGAGAGCAGCTATCCTTGGTGCTAGAATAAGGACCGGGGTGTAACTTGGAGGGCACAAAATGAGAGCAGCCCCTCCAAAACAATTTTGCCCACCCACGTTAAATTTTCCTTTAGTGGCAAAAAAATGAAGCATTGGAAATTACTCATAAAATGAATTTATTTATTTTTATTTACCATATTTATACCCTGCCCTTCTCACCTCAGAGGGGACTCAAGGCAGCCTTACAACAGGCAGCAATTTGATGCCATACACACATATATTAAAAATAAACAATTACAATTAAAACCAAATAATTAAAACATCTATTATTAAACATCAATTAAAATCATGCCATCCAAATCATAATCCAAGGCTGTTCCATTTGTCAATCACATTGATTCATGATCACTTACTGCACTACGCCAATTACTTGTCAAAGGCTTGGTCCCAAAGCCATGTCTTCAGTTTTTTTTCCTGAAGGTCAGAAGAGAAAGGGCTGATCTGATTTCATTGGGGAGGGAGTTCCATAGATGAGGAGCCACCACTGAGAAGGCCCTGTCTCTCACCCACACCAGTCCTGCCTGTGAAGGAGGTGGGACTGAGAGCACGGCCTCCCTGGATGATCTTAACCTCCGAGATGGTTCATAGAGGGAGATACATTCGGACAGGTAAGCTGGGCTGGAACCATCTAGATTTTTATAGGATAAAGCCAGCAGTTTGAATTGTGCTTGGTAGCAGACTGGCAACCAGTGGAGCTGGCGTAACAGTCGGGTTGTGTGCTCCCTTTACCTCACTCTGCTGAGCAATCTGGCTGCTGCCCATTGGACCACTTGAAGCTTCTGAACAGTCTTCAAAGGCAATCCTACATAGAGTGTGCTGCAGTAGTCTATTTGGGATTTAATCAATGCATGGACAACCATAGCCAAGTCTGGAAGGGATCCTAAGGGCCATCCAGTTTAATCCCATTCTGCCATTCAGGAACACACAATCAGAGCGCCCCTGACAGATGGCTATCCATCCTCTGCTTAAAACCCCCCAGAGGAGACTCTACCACACTCTGAGGCAAAATATTCATCTCCCAAACTGCTCTTACCATCAGGAAGATCTTCCTATTGTTCTACCTCTTGTCATTAGCTGCATAAGCTAGCACTAAAAACAAAAAGCACTCAGAGAGATGCAGTTGTTCACTCCAGTTCTGGAAGAAAAACATTGGATGCAGGAAAGCATCTCTGGGCAATATCTACTTTTAATTTAGAGCAACAAATGTTAGTATCTTCTATGGGCTGGAGTTTAACTGCGGGCAGGAGTTGGAAAACCCTTTGCATATATTCATTTCCAACCTCATTCCTGAAAACATCAAAGGTCATTTAGTCAACCAGTAAGACCATTTACGTTAAACATTCTCCCATCCCAGCACACTGCCATCAACTTTTAGTTCCATACACCTTTCTCACCAGCTTCAGTCACTGTGGTTTTGTTGACCTTGTCCTTCATCCAGATCTAACCGAAAAGGATTTTTTGGCTCTGCACCCACTGGTCCTGAGGGGCAGATGTTTAACCTAGATTTCAAAGTCCTTGAACCCAATGGCTTTTAAAAGTGCCAGATCTTCTCCTTTCATGTAACACAAGGTCTGGAAGGATTCCCTCCTCCAGTAGCTCTCTGGCCCTATGAGCAAGCAAGAACACTGGCAAAGATGAACTTTGAAGATCTCCTACAAGAAGTAGGTGGTTTTGGCAAATTCCAGGTCCTAACGTTGCTCCTTCTCTGCTTTCCAAGACTCTTATTGCCCCTGCATTTCCTTCTGCACAACTTTCTGGCGGCCATCCCACGTCATCACTGTGACATCACATATGATGACCGACTGGCCAACCTCACCAAGGAAGAAGCGTGGCTTATTAGCATCCCAAGAGATGCTGAAGATGTCTTCAGCTCCTGCAAGATGTTCTCAGAACCTCAGTTTCATTTACTGGTTAACTCTACCCAGGAAGCATCTAACACCACAATGAACATCACCGCTGTACAGAACTGCCAACATGGATGGATCTATGATCAATCCCAGTTCACGTCTACTATAGCCACCCAGGTAATGTTCCATGTTCCTTTTATTTGTGATGTTTGTACCTCTCCATTAGTCCTTCCAAATGGAACAAATATTCTCAAGGAGCATGGTATAAAAATTCCAAAAATAGAGAGAGTAGAACAAAGAGCAATGGATTCAAATTACAGGAAATGTTAAAAAAAACTTCCTGATGGCAAGAGCTGCTCGCTAGTAGACTATGCTGCCTTGGAATGTGGTGGAGTCTCATTCTTTGGATGTTTTCAAGCAGGAAAACCATCTGGCCATCTATAGGTGGTGCTTTTATTGTGTTCTATTGCATGACGGGATTGAACTGGATGGTCCTTGTGGTCTCTTCCAACTCTATGATTTGAATGGGTCAGATGGTCAGATGATTTCCAATACAGGATGTCCTACTAAGACCCATAGGTAGATGTGAACAGCTTAATACTTCACAAAATAAATGGCAATGTATGGAAATAACCCTCTTGATAGAATATGGGTGTATCTACACTGTAGAATTAATGCAGTTTGACACCACTTTAACTACCTTGGTTCAATGCTATGATATCCTGGCAGCTGTAGCTGACAGGTGACCTACTCAAACACACATACATATGATTCTGGGACCAAGAATTTTACAAAGCTTGGTGAGATTGAGGAATTGCTTTCTGCTTGAGGAGTATTTGTACAGAGATGCAGAATAATAATAATAGTGAAGATGACTCACTAAAAGATGTGGTATGGAGATGATCAGAGATTGAAAACAGGATGGCCAGTCAGGCTGGAAGGAAACAGAGTGACAAAACAAAGATGGAACACAGTGGGATATAAGGACCCACGTCATAACAGGAAAGGAGAGTGGTGTGTGACTGAAGATTTCTAATTTACCTTCAAGTCCCTCCAAACATCTCAGTGCTATTGCTCATCTGCATCTATCTTCTTCTGTATATGAATCTCCTTGGAACCTTTGTTCCAAGGAGACTGCCTTTGAGATAAGATTGAAAGCCTATGTAGTTCAATTAAGCAGCTGAGGGGGGAAAGGAAAGGGCCCGAGGCTGTTAGGAATTGTGGGAGTTGGGGTCCAAAATGCCTCGAGGGCCCAAGTTGCCCATGCCTGCTATAGAATGAATGCAATTTGAGACTACTTCAATTGCCATGGCTCAATGCTGTTGAATTATGGGAGTTCTCATCTGGCAAGGCAACAGCTTTGGAAGAAAAGACAAAGGATATTGTAAAACTACAACTGTCACAATTCCATAGGATGTAACCATGGCATGGCAGTTCAAGTGGTGTCAAACTGCATTAATTGCACTGTGTAGGTGCACCCTTCGGTGTTTTGTGTGCCTGACAAGTCTTTCTGTCTTCCCTCTTTCTCTGCACACACAAATACAAACAGCTCAAGGACCATAATCAGGTCACAACCTTCTGAGAAGTTGGATGAGGTCTGGGGTGGGATAACACTAAATTAATGCCAGGCATGTTCAGAGGAAGTGTATTTCATATATAACCAGGACCATTGCCTTATGTAAATTAGACAGATAGGTCAATCAATGATTCTCTTGAATTTGTTATTGTTAAAGACACACAAGCTCTTTAACTGGCATCAACACGGCAGGCAAGCTAAGAGGTTATGTAATAGTCACAAAATGGAAGTATATTTCAGAGAGTTATTTCAAATCCTGGTTTTATTGTGAGAGGATTTTCCCCAAGTTTCCCTGAAATTTTGGCTTGCACTACAAGAGGGAAGTCTTCATGAGCTCCAGCTGTTTTGGTTTGGCAGACATCCCCCACTTTAATCCTCTGCTGTCCCCCTTATACAAAATATATAATATTTTAAATGCTTTTACGATTTCCCAGTTTCTCTACCATCTTCCCAGATAGAGAAATTCAGAAACACCTTGGAGGTAAATTGGAAAAATATAAAGGGTAGTATAAACTCTTGTGGGTTACTGTTTGCTCCATCAGAAGCAAGATGTCCATCTTTAATGAATCAAGAATGTGATAAAGCACCCAAAATACCCAATCCAATTCTGGGATTCTTCAGAAGGACTATAGTGTCTGTATTCTGAATGTATCGGACCCCAGCCAGAAATACCATCCCTGGTTCTGGGAACTACAGTTCAAGGAGGATATGGAATGTACATTGAAAAGAGTGACCTAGATGCTCAAAGATCTGGAAACCAAGCTCTATGAGGAATGACTTAAAGCTATATATATTTATCTTGGAGGAGAGAAGACTTAGAGATGACAGGGTAACCATGTTTTAATATCTGAAGAGATGGTGCATGTTGAAGATGGATCCAGTTTGTTTTTTTCTGCTCCAGAGACTAGAACATGAATCAATGGATGCAAATTCCAAGAAAAGATTCGGGAGAACTTCCAAATTGTAAGCACTGTAAGAAAGTGGAAAAGATTTGCTTTGAAGGGTGATGGACTTTTGATGGATAGTCTTTAAATAGAGGTTGTCTGGGCATCTTTTAGGGTTGTGTCAGGATCCAGTGCTGTGCCAGTATGCAGGTAGAGGTGAATCAAAAGCAACACCCAGCTTGTCTCAAAAACTATTTTACTTAAAGCAGCACTTACTCATTTGGCTGTTTTCAAGGTCCAAGTTCAAAACATAAAGATAGCACACAGCCATGGATGCAAAGCAAAACTTATAACAAGGAACGTACTACAAACACCAGTTCAGGAGAAAGTACACTGCAATCATGGTTGTAGTTCAGGAATCAAATGCTGAGCATTTACTGATTAATGTCCAAGATTCAAGAGACCAAAGCATCGTTGTTCCAAAGGTCAAGCCAGAGAGTCCAGAGCCCAAGGGTGATCCAAAGACATAGTCAATACTTAGAGATTCAAGGTACATCAATGTTCACAACAGTATACAAGAGCAACAGGGTTCACCTCATGGTCCTTTCCATGTCTTTGATTCTATGAATTTTTGTTTCAGTGGGACTTGGTTTGTGAACAAAGAGGACTGAACCAAGCAACTGCTACTTTCTTCTTCATTGGTGTCATGTTTGGTGCTGTGATCTTTGGCTACCTCTCAGATAGGTAACTGGATTCTATTATTTTCTATTATCTTTTCTCCACAGGAAGTTTTCCCCGTCCTCTCCTTCTAAAACTAGGACAAGAAACTTGTGTGTGTGTGTGTGTGGGGGGGGGGGGGGGCATTAACCCCTTGGAGACCTTGGAGATGCATTATTCCCTTAGGAGACCTTGGAGAAACACTGCATTGTTTACAAAAATACCTCTGCTCCCCATTCTCTCTCAGAAGCATGGGGACATTTCAACCATCATGTAAGATCATCCTTGGCCATTTGTAGGTCCAGGAGAAGCCTTTTTAGCAACAGAAAGTGAACAAGGTCACTTATTTTTAATGTTCTGCTTTTCAAAAAATACCTCTCCTGGAACTAAAATAGTCCAGGAGAGTAAATAAGTGGTGGAAATACTCTCCACATCTTTAGACAATGTCCACAATCCCATGGCCAGTGTGTCTACCAACCATGTTAGCTGGTGAATCATGGAAGCTGTGGCTTAAAAAGGCAATTTTCTATGCTCTTGGACTCCCTTTTCCAGCCAACACACTGGACTAGTTGGCTTGCTCAAAATAACAACACAGATGAAACACTACAGTAAACATAGGAAAAAAACCCACTAACAAATGGGTAGGAGCCCTGAAATAAATCCATGTATGTATGTATGTATATGCATGGATACTGTTCCGTAGATGCAAGTTTCTAATATTAAGCACGGCTTCTTCTCATAGAGATCTTCCATACTTGTTTGGGGTCAAAAGGGTAAATGCCAGTCAACATTCTGAATTGGTCATTCTCATCACATATTGTAGAGATCAGATGAGAACAGCTGGCAACACCAAATGTGTTGTGTAAGTAACATTTTCTTTCTGGCTCGGCAGGTTTGGGCGAAAATCCATGCTCCTTGTGGCATATGTAGGCACTCTCCTCTTTGGCATGCTGAGTGCCATCTCCGTTACTTACAGTATGCTTGCAGTCACACGGACCCTGACAGGGGTGGCTATGTCTGGACTCTCCCTCATTGTACTACCTCTAGGTAAGCACAATGGTATTTCAAGACAGGCCTCTCAAGTACAGGGGGAGCCATCTTCCCCACTATGTACCTTCTGCAGAAGGTACATACTAGAGCAGAATATCTTCCACGAGTTCGGGAAGACTTCCTTTGCAAGATGTCTCTTGGAATCTAGTAAAGATCTGATCTTTGGCTGAAATTCAGTTGTTGACAATAATATGCATAATTTAGAATTAAGTGCACATGTGTCTCTTTTTAGATGTTCTGCAAGGAGCTATTCAGTAGCTCCTTGTGCAATTACCAACTCCTTGGAGGCCACAAATACGGTCATTTTACTGGCTATAAAAGGGTGAAAGAAAACAACTATGAATGCTTTGATGCAGCAGAGGGCCCATCCAGACAGACTCATATCCTGGGACTTGTCTTGGTTTTACCTGAAGTGTCCAAATGACGCCTAAATTAAAACCAATTAAATCCAGAGAAAACTGGAATTTCTTAATTTGCTCCGGATTAATAAAACACATGGAAAGATCTGGACTTTAAGCTAAGGTCCAGATCTTTTTTCAGGTGCACTGCCGGCAGGCCCCTCAGGTATGTTTTTGGGGGAAATGAGATGGGGTGGAAGTCGCTGGTTGACCTGGGAGGGCATGTAGCCACCTTCCCCCAGGGAAATTCTAGGGTTTGGGATTGATGTATGGATCTTAATCTAGGGAGGAACTGGGTTTAGGTAATCCAGTTCCTCCCAGGATTAAGGTCTGCCTAGAAGGGCCCACAGAATCACTCCTAGATCTGCAAACACCTGCTGGAGAACCAGAAAAAAAATCTCATTTCTGGGGGCATCATACTGTAGAATTAATACAGATTGACACCAGATTAATTGCCATGGCTCTATGCTATGGAATTATGTATTTTTAAGAAACACATTAAACTGTTAAAATGCTGATTCACTTCCAAAACAACTGTATTTTTGTGTTGTCATAACACCAGATTCAAGGTGGGTATGGATAGCCCCCCCCCCCCCCAAGTGTAGATAACTTATTCATCTACACATATACATACTTACTAAGTTCTGCTTCTACGTTCCAGGCTTAGAATGGGTGGATATACACCATCGTACCTTTTCTGGGGTCACAACTAGTATCTTCTGGAGTTTGGGAAATATGCTTCTTGCTCTGATTGCCTACTTTGTGCGGGACTGGCGTTGGCTGTTGTTTGCTGTCACTCTGCCTTGTTTTGTGGGTATCGCCTCTTTGTGGTGAGTGAAATTACCACTTCATGATTCTGTGTTACAGAGTGCAGAGAACCGTTGTAACTGTGAAGACATACACTGTTTGCCCTAAATTCTGGCCTTTTCATTCCAACAGGAGCAGAATTTGCATGGAATAAGTTATAGCAAATGTAGTAACCTGGAAGAAATGTAGACATATAAATCTTTAGCTATTACGTTTGAGTATGAATGATTGCATTCAAAAAGGCAATAATCGATGTCATGGCAGAAACAGTGAAGCGTACTTTTTTAGTTCTCCCATGATGGACTAAGCTCTTGCCTTTCACAATTCAGAGAATGAGATATTTCCTTTTTTTTTTTTTTTTAAGATATTTCCTTTTTTGATAACAGGGACAACTGAGCTAAATCATCCCAGGTGTTTTGGGTCAATTTTTGCTGATGAAAACGAGCGCAGTAAACTCTCAGTTAACCAGAATACAAGCAACTGAAACTCTAATGCAACCAGCAAAAATAGAAAAAAAATAAAAATAACATTTTATGCTACATTGAGTTTAGTTAGTATTTGTCTTTATTTGCTTTTAATTAATGTATTTCAATATTAATGTCAAATCAGTACACAGTTTATGGTATGGTATACTATTAGTTAGGCTTGTTTTTAATAGTAACTCTCAAGCAACCAGAAACTACATTTATCTGACATCTACTAATTCCCATGGGTGCCAGATTAACTGAGTGTCTACTACCTACCTACAATATTTTCAATTTTATTCTATTTTTAATCAATCCATAGGTTTATTTTCCAAACAATGGAAAATAATGGAAAATCAAAAGCAAAGTAACAAGGATTTTATTTATTTATTTCATTTACTTATATCCCGTCCTTCTCACCGAAGGGGACTCAGGGCGGCTCACAACAAAGGCATAATTCGATGCCTTGAACACATATCAACATAAAAACAACATATACATTAAAATCACATAATTAAAACATATCAATTGAAACAATTAGTTAAAATCACAGAATTCGAAAATATGCCAGGAGCCATTCCAATTGTCATCTGAATCTGTATTGTCAAAGGCTTTCATGGCTGGAATCACTGGTTGTTGTAGGTTTTTCGGTCTGTATGGCTGTGTTCTAGAAGCATTCCCTCCTGACGTTTCACCTGCATCTATGGCAGGCATCAGAGGTTGTGAGGTCTAACTCTGAGGATGCCTCATAGATGCAGGTGAAACGTCAGGAGAGAATGCTTCTGGAACATGACCATACAGACCAAAAAACCTACAACAACCCAGTGATTTTGCCATGAAAGCCTTCGACAATACATTAATTTTGGGAAACCATTTTGGAGGAGGGCAGAGCTAGAACACTCCCATTGTTACATGAAGAATACACACATTTAACCAGATGCCTGAGCAGACTATGAATACCCATGATTTGGATGGAACAGAAATTTATCCCGAGTCTCCAAACATCATTACACAACTCACAGCCTGAATTCTGGGTAAAGGCTCATGAAAATTAGTACACATTAAGGGAAAGGTGTTAATCTGTGTCCAGAAGTTGGGTATAAACTGAAATTAGTGATTCAGTAGCTTGTGCCTAATGTCAATCACGCACAGTCTGACCTCGTGCCTAACCATACCACAGCAATGGTTCACCAAGAGCTAAATAAATGTCAGGTTGAATACAGGGGATCAGATATTTACCTTTTATCCCTTTTCTACAGGATAGAAGGAGTTTTGAGAAACTGCTTGCTCTAACTCTCTCTCTCTCTCTCTCTCTCTCTCTCTCTCTATATATATATATATATATATATCCACTGTTGACCTCTGAATAAGCAAGACATTCGAAACCAGATTGCGAGTTACAAGTAAATAATATATATAGATTTTCTGTGCATTTTTCTCAGTTATGAAAAGCTGCTTTGGAAAGTAGGAAAGTGAGCAGCAAGAGGTGCCTAACATTTCAGGATTTTTTCAACAATAGCCAATTTTCTATCCAAAACTATGCCTCTTTTTGCCATCGGTGCCTAAGAGTATTTCTACCACACACTTTTCCTGCTCAAATTTGCATCCCTTCTTGAGGAACATATTCAGAATGTCTTGGGAAAGTCACACCCAACAATCTTCTCTCTCCACCCAAAAATATGGGGGACAAAAATTTCAACCATCCTCATACAGTTGCTTGCAGAGTTACACAAAATTCATAGCTGAAATCCTCTTAGCAGCATACATAAATTTTAATATATCACACAGGACCTTTGCTGATCCCAAAACATTTATTGTTCAGACTAAAATGTTCCTCTAAGGCCCAACATATATAGGGCTCACACACTAATTACACCCAGAATGATAAAACACACAGAATTTCTGATACCCAGTTCTTTGCCTCTTTTCCCACAAGACCTCGAGCAATTGACCTGTATTGCATGCTAACAAAACCTTCCAGTTCCTCCCCATTTGGTCACTACTTAGCCCACTGTCCATTTGTCAATGCCCATTTGTTAATACCGTGCACATTGCACATGGGATGTCATAACCAAATAACTTATGGTTATGACATTAACCTCCCTCTCATGGCCATTCTGTTGTTGGTGGAGAGTGGAGGGGATTGGAGATCGTTGACATCATCTGCTGGGACCTCCTGGTAGATCTTGGTGAAAGAATCTCCTTTCTTGTAGTACGGAGCAATGGCTTCAAATGACAGGAAAGGAGATTCCACCTGAACATTAGGAATAACTTTCTGACTGTGAGAGCTGTTCAGCAGTGGAACTCTCTACCCCAAAGTGTGGTGGAGGCTCCTTCTATGGAGGCTTTTAAACAGAGGCTGGATGGCCATCTGTTGGGGGTGCTTTGAACGCGATTGTCCTGCTTCTTGGCAGGGGTTGGACTGGATGGCCCATGAGGTCTCTTCCAACTCTATGATTCTATAATTCTAAGATGTCCTCAGTCTCTGTCTGAGATAGATACAATCCTTATATCTGGCTATGTTTGTGACCACATGCGAACTGATGACATCATCTGTAGAGACTGCCTGGCAGGTATTAGTGGAAGGTGTCCTTGATCGATGTCTGGCTATGGGAACAATGCAATTCTATGGTCATTTTCCAGCAGAAGAAATTCTTCTAGGAAGACCTAGACATTCCTAGAGAGATGATCCTTCAGGTTAAAAAATAGCTATATTTTAAAATTTGCATTATTCACTTTCATGGGGGCCTTCTGCTCCTAATCTCAGCAAATGTGAGGGTATGACTATATATTATCTTCATGAACATTATGATCAGTATGAAGTAGATGATTTGGTCTCAAAATGTTTTCACTGATGATCAACAATACCTCTTGACCTTCTGTTTAACAGGTGGCTCTCAGAATCTGCCAGATGGTTGTTGACCAAAGGAAAGCTTGAGCAAGCTCACAAACACCTTCAAAGATGTGCCAAAATGAATGGAAGGAAGGAGTCTGGGGCCAAGATAAACCTCGAGGTACATCAAGGGATCAGGGTTTGGACTGAAACAAAGAAAAAAAACTTATCTCTTTCTCATTATCATGAATCAGCTAGGCAGAATTTTCACTTTGGCCATGAGCACAGATTTTCTAGCAATTCCCCATCCTCACCTGCAGCATCAAGAATGGCTCTGCCATAGGTAAGACCACAGCTTCTGCCACAAAATGTTTAAACAGAAATATTGACATGTTGAAGTACAGAGTTGTATGTATCACACGTCTTTCTCTGCACCCTTTGTGCTGAATGGCTGTCAAGCCAATTAGGTCCTGTATGTGGAATGGGGAGGAAGGAGGAAAGGTGCCACTTCCATAATTTATCTCAAGTGGGAAATAGTTTTGGGTTAATCACTTCTTTTGGGAAGTCCAGTTTTCCTCATCTCTCTCAACCTGTTTCAGAAAACTGTAGACATTTCCTTTCCTTTTACCAGGTTTCAGGACTGTTTTTAGGAATCTGAAATCTTTCTGCCCCCCTCGAGAATGAAAAAGAGATTCCAGCTCTTTTGCTTCCCTTTTCTTAAACCAGATGCAAAAGCTTCTATTTATTGACACTTTTGTTAGATATGCTGTAAAGGTAAAGATTTTCCCCTGACATTAAGTCCAGTCGTGTCCGACTCTGGGGGTTGGTGTCATCTCCATTTCTAAGCCGAAGAGCCAGCGTTGTCCGTAGATACCTCCAAGGTCATGTGGCCGGCATGACTGCATGGAGCACCGTTACCTTCCCGCCGGAGTGGTACCCATTGATCTACTCAAATTTACATGTTTTCGAACTGCTAGGTTGGCAGAAGCTGGGGCTCCTAGATATGCTGTATATTTGCTATATACATGCATGTGCGTTTGTGCGGGGGAAGATGAAGAAAGAATTATGGAGAGAGGGAGAATGGTGTAGCAGTTTGAGTGTTGAACTTGAACTCTGAGAGACCAGGGTTCAAGCCCCTGTTTGGCTATGGAAACCCTCTGGGTGACCTTGTGCAAACTACCTTTGCACAGTCACAGAGGAAGGCAATGTCAAACACCCAAAAACAAAATAAATTGTCAATATTTGCTTGAGATAGTGCTTGCAGTTCTGGAGGGACTCTTAATTTTTTTCATAGACTTAGCATGGGGATTTGGTTAACCAGTTTAAAATTCATGAGTAAACCAGGGTTTTTTTTAACCTGAAAAATTTCAAGGGGGGGGGTTTGAACCCCTAACCCCCCCCCCCCCGGCTACAGGCCTGATGAAAATTAAATCATTTAAAAAATATGCATCAAGTGCTGGTGTTAGGTAAGGCCCAATGGGACTGTCATAAGGTAACTTCAAACAATACATTACAAAAGAGATTTTGCTGGTTGCAATCGTCTCTCTGGAATCTTCTGCCTCTGATGCAAAGTGATGGATTACAAGTTGTTGCTTATAAACTGTCTTACTCTTCTTCCCTGTGAACCTTAGTCTGACCAAAAGTTTCTGTTGTCCTTTAGACTGTTGGTATAATAATGCATGCCATCATAGTGCTAAGAATGCCTGTTTTTGTATTGCTTGGTCTAGGATTACCAGACAATGCCCCAAGCCTCTAGTGCAGGGGTCTTCAAACTTTTTAAACAGAGGGCCAGGTCACAGTCCCTCAAACTGTTGGAGGGACGGATTATAATTTGAAAAAAAAAACATGAATAAATTCCTATGCACACTGCACATATCTTATTGGTAGCATAAAAAACATTTTAAAACAATACAATAATTAAAATGAAGAAGAATTTTAACAAATATAAACTTATTCTTTCAATGGGAAGTGTGGGTCTGGTTTTGGCTAATGAGATAGGATTGTTGTTGTTGTGTGCTTTCAAGTTATTTCAGACTTAGATTGACCCTGAGTGAGAGCTGGATAAATGACCTTGGAGGGCCGTATCCGGTCCCCGGGCCTTAGTTTGAGGACCCCTGCTCTAATGACTGTTAAAAAAAAAAGGGGGAGGAGTCCGGCAAGAGAACTCTATACAGGGAAATTGAATAGTCCAACTAAGGCTGGCCTCTCAGAGGTGTTATGCTTCACCCAAAAAAATATACAAAGGAAGGTGTCTACACTATTTGGAAAATCTAGGAACGGGGAACTGAAGCAAAGGAGAAGAAAAGGCAATGCCAAGACTTCACATCTAACCTAAAACCCATTGTTCCTTTTTCAGATATTAAGCAAGACTGCAGCAAATATAGCACAGAAGCCAGGTGGGAATTATTCCTACACCAGCCTTTTCCAGACACCGATGATGAGAAGAATATCTTATTGCATGGGTGCCGTGTGGTGAGGAGGCACATCTCCCTTTCCCCTTTTCCTCAGCACATGGGTTTCTTTCCTACCTGCGCCTGAGTCTGGGAGTCCTCAGCACAGCCCTTTGTTTCCCTCCTTTTCAGGTTTGGGGTGGCCTTTTCCTACTATGGCATGAGTATGAACATTACTGGTTTTGGCCTGGATATGTACATGACCCAGTTTGTCTTTGGAATCATTGAAATTCCTGCCAAGGTCATTATGTATATTGTGGTTAATTGGGCTGGACGAAGACATTGCCAGGCCTGGACTCTCATCCTTGCTGGATTATCTATAGGCGCCAACATTGTCATCCCAAAGTGTAAGTAGTTTTATTGTATATACAATATAATACACTATATATATAGTATATGATATTATATTATAAGATATTAATATCCTAATACTGGCTGGGATCCTCTATCAACTATGTAGTTCAAGTATACAGTCAGTCCCTGGATTACAAACAAGATAAGTTTTGTAGGTTTGTTCTTAAGTTGCATGTAAGTCAGAACTGGCACATTTTAAAAGTGTAATTCCAGCTCTATCTATCTATCTATCTATCTATCTATCTATCTATCTATCTATCTATCTATCTATCTATCTACTTTGGATAACATAAGGAAGGGCCCCTAATCTTAGTGGGCACCTTTGCTAATATCAGCACAAGATATATACACAACAAGCAAGAAGAAGGGGAGACTATCCTTTCCTTCTTAATGGTCTCATTGGTGGCCCGTTTGTGATATCAACTTGTGACACCAGTAGCTTGCACAGAGATCTCTAGCCAGCCAGGCAGGGTAATATGGGCATGATCCATACCACTATCTTGATGAAGGCACATCTCCCCTTCCCTTCTGCCTTTCCCTTTCCTTCCCTTCTCATCCCTTCCCTTCTCATCCCTTCTGCCTTTCCCCTTTCCCCTTCCCTATGTTCAGTCAGATCAGGACAAATTGGACCTGATCCTATAGTTCCAGACCATCCTGAAGCCCTGGCATACTCTTGAATTTTCATGAAAATCCATAATATAAAATCTCTTTGCCAAAAGCAGGGCAAAATCTGTTTAAACTTGAAAAACCCTGAGATACTCACCAGAAAAACCAGTGTGTGTCATGGGGACCATCAGGGATCAATTTACAATGAATCTAAGGTTTTTGGTTTATATAAACAAGTGGGTAAACTACATCTCCCATCACCATGTGTTATTGTTCCCAAACCACACCAGTAGTTAAGGTTGGGCATGGTGGGTATGTGTACCAAATTTGATCCAAATCCATCATTGGTGGGGTTCACAGTGCTCTCTAGATATGAGAGAACTACAACTCCCAGCATCCAAAGTAAAATCTCTCCAGTATTTTATTGTGGTTATGGGGGGGATATGTGTGGCAAGCTTGGTCCAGATTCATCATCGGTGGGAGTCACTGGACTATCTGGAAGTGGGAGCCATCTCCGAAACTCCCACAAACAGATACATATAATATAACACTGATATGCTTTCTAACATATTTTCATTTTTCATTATACATCCATTATTTCTATTTTTCTATTAGCAAAATAAATAGTTTTTCATGTTTGCTTTTGATTTTGAGTCAATGTTTATAATATCTGAAGCATAAATTCTCATCAGCTGTCAATAGTCAGATACTAAATGCCAGTGAATATAATTTATTCAATGTCAGATAACAATCTTTGAGTGGCAATGACCAAATGCTATTTACATGCTAAACAGTTCAGCCAAACATTAATCAATTTTTAAAAATCAAATATAATTTGTCAGATATTGAAATCAAACGTCATTGGGCATCAAATATTTAGTGATCCTTCTGTATAGGTTCAGAGAATATATTTATCATTGGAATTCACAGAGGATTGGATAGAGCCAGTGCATTTGAGCTCTATAAATTGCTCACTGTAATTCAGTCAGTCTAAAAGACAAAGATTTAACTTCTTGATTAGTATTTATTCATATTTTACATAGAAATAGTCAGATGTTAAGGGTGCATTGGCACTATAGAATTAATGCATTAACCTTCTCTGCCACAGAGTAGTTCTCTCACCAAACTACAACTGCTACGATTGCATAAAATTGAGGCAAGACAGATAAAGTAGTGTCAAACTGCACTAATTCTAAAATGCAGTTGCAACCTAATTCAGTACTTAGATGGGATATTACGGGGACATATAGATTTGTGCAACTATTAGTATCTCAATATTTGTCCAAATGAGTTTTTAAACTTGGAGTCTGAGGCTGGATCTACACTGCCATATAATCCTGTTTCTGAATCCAGATTATCTGCTTTGAACTGTGTTATATGAGTCTATACTTCCATATGGAGTGTTTACTGCCCCATATGATGATGCAGTGGGCTAAAGCACTGAGCTGCAGAACTTGTGGACCAAAAGGTCGCAGGTTCGAATCCGGGGAGTGGTGTGAGCTCCTTCTGTTAGCCCCAGCTTCTGCCAACCTAGCAGTTCAAAAACATGCAAGTGTGAGTAGATCAATAGGTACCGCTCCGGTGGGAAGGTAACGACCACATGACCTTGGAGGTGTCTACGAACAACGCCGGCTCTTCAGATTAGAAATGGAGATGAGCACCAATCCCCAGAGTTGGACACAACAGGACTTAATGTAATGGGAAAATCTTTACATTTACCTATATTGCCATATAATCCAAGCCTGGGTTGGGGGGTTGTGCCCGACCTTCAGCCCAGGTCACTGCCCACCTAGCAGATTGAAAACAGCTGTGGGTAGATAAATACCACTGAAGCGGGGAAGTATTTTGTCCAAAGGAGTTCTTAAACATGATGTCTGAGGCTGGATCTACACTGCCATATAATCCCGTTTCTGAATCCAGATCATCTGCTTTGAACTGTATTATGAGTCTATACTGCCATATAATCCAAGCTTGGGTCAAAAGTGAGTGCCCGACCTTCAGCCCAGTTTACTGCCCACCTAGCAGATCAAAAAGTAGACTAGATAAATAGCTGAAGCTGGGAGATATTTTAATGGAACTATAAGGAAATACCAGAAAAATGCCGGTGATTTGATCAAAGGAGGAAGTCTGTGAACAGGGCTCTTCAGCATGTTGGATGGAGTGACCCCTGTGGCCAGAATTGAGCATAACCTCCAAGATGTCGAAAATGGGAAAACCTATATATCTCTATCTATGTACTCTTGTCTGTCCTGTCAGTGTATAATTGCATTGAATGTTTGCTGTATATGTGTTGTGTGATCCACTCTGAGTCCCCTTCGGGGTGAGAAGGGCAGAATATAAATACTGTAAATAAAAAAATTATATGGCAGTGTAGGTATTGCCAAAGTGACCTCAGTTGGATTATATAATGGAGATGCTTCTACAGAGCACTGTAGTGGATTGGGAATGAGGTGGTTTCTCTGTAGTACAACTGGGTAGGGATTGATTCCGGGATTCTGCTAACTCTCTGTCCTCTTCCACCTCCTTAGCTCTGGAGACTTTGCGCTCAGTGGTTGCCATCATTGGCAAAGGATTATCCGAAGCTTCCTTCACCACCGTCTTCTTGTATTCATCAGAGCTCTATCCCACTGTCCTTAGGTAAGAGATGGTTGTATTTTACCACTGTGTAATTCTGGACTAATCTAATCATTTGGTCTAACTCACTGGGACTGTTGGTCTCCTGCCTTAAATTCAGGGATAGGTTCTGAATAATGTTGTAGTCCAAACTGCACTAAAACATAAGCAAGAGATTGGGAACTCCTTGTAAGAGATGGTTGTATTTTACCACTGTGTAATTCTGGACTAATCTAATCATTTGGTCTAACTCACTGGGACTGTTGGTCTCCTGCCTTAAATTCAGGGATAGGTTCTGAATAATGTTGTAGTCCAAACTGCACTAAAACATAAGCAAGAGATTGGGAACTCCTTGTAAAAGGTAATAATCAGCCCTCCACATTCACTGTGATTAGAGGTGCAGTACTGCCACAAAAGTGGAAATACTACAAATTAACCCCCCCACCACCACCACTACCACACACACTCACTTTTGTTTAAACCTGAGATAACTCCTGTCTAAATTATATGTGTCCCTACTGCCAGATAATCTGGGATAAACCGAAAACCTGGGATCTGATCCTGGTGTTGTAGCACCAGCATCTGAGGATTTGTCTGGCTTTACTGGGGGGCTATTAAGATTGTGTTAAGATTAAGACCCTTAGCAGACAGAGGCGTTTTAGGAAAGGCGAAAAGATAACTGAAACTAGTTGAATATAGGGTTAACTCCACCCGGGACTATCATAAGGCAACTTAAAACAATACATTACAAAAGGAGATTTTGCTGGCTGCAGTCATCTCTCTGTAATCTTCTGCCTCTGGTGAAAAGCAATGGCTTACAAGTTGTTGTTTATAAACTGTCTTAATCTTCTTTCCCGTGAAGTTTAAGCTGGTTAAAAGCTTCTGTTGTCCTTTGGACTACTGGTATAATAATACTGCTAAATGCAGGTGCTAAGAATGCCTGTTTGGATTGCATGGGCCTAGAATACCAGACAATCTGAAGCTCTGTTAACTGTAGCTCTGGTGCAGAAAAAGGAGGATTGCAGCGAGAGCTCTATACAGGAAAATGAAATAGACCAACTAAGACTGGACTCTGGGGGGATTTTAAGCTCCACCCAAAAACTAATAGAAAGGAAGGTGGGAAGGCCTATAAACAGAGGAAAATAAAGCAGAGGAGAGGAGAAGGCAGAGCCAAGATTTCACAAAAACCACTCTAACAACCATCATATCAGACTACACAGAGAAGCCATTGAAATCCACAAGCATGTGGACAATTTCAACAGAAAGGAGGAAACCATGAAAATGAACAAAGCTGGCTACCAGTATTTTAAAAAACCCTCTAAAATCAGGACAGTAAATAAAGAGCAACATTAAAAAAACAGGGGAATTCCAGACAAGAACCAATCAGGGCCAACTAACATCTCCCAACAAAGGATCCTTTCAGGCAACAATCAACCATGTGTTGAAGCTACAAGGCCATTAAATGCTAATCAAGGTGGCCAATTGCAACATTCACACTTGCCTCAAGCAGACAAGAGTTCTTTCTCCCACCCTGGACATTCGACAACCTCCGGATGCTTGTCATAGATGTGGGTGACATGTCAGGAGAGAATGCCTCTGGACCATGGCTATACAGCCTGGAAAACTCACAGTAACCCACTTCAGTGGACACGCCACATTCTCATAACTTTTTTAGGAGTGAATTTCCCTTCCTAGGGATAGATTTCTCTCACTTCCTGTTGTTTTATTCCCATTCTTAAGTACAAGTCATTTGTGAATCAGGTGTTTGTAACTCAGGGATTGCCTGTACTGAATTTGTTGAGCAATGTCATTTACCAATTAAAAGGTCCTTCACTTCAGGACTATTAGGCTTATTCATAATACAAGTGTAATCAACTGACTAATTTATTCACTCATATGATGGTTTTAGAAAAAAATCAAACCCATCGTTGAGTACATTGCAATTATACAGTTATCAACATCATGCGGTACACTTCTCCATACCAGATGCTGGAGAATAGGAGTGCTCTTGTATTGCACTCATGGAGTTGCTATAGGCATCTGGATGGCCTGATAGAAAACAAGAAATTGAACTAGATAAACCTTTGCTCATTTTGAGCAGGGAATTTAATAAATTGAGAATTTCCAGAAGGTTCTGCTCTCCAATATAGTTTATGGCATGACTCCCAAATCCACAGGGCCAGTACCTGCAGCTTCATTTATCCAAAACCAACAAAATGCCTGCTCTTTAGCCATGTTTATGGTATTCTGAGCTTGGAAGTCCTCTATTTTGACAGGATTCTCTGTTATGGCTTTGCATATCCACACCAAGTCCTGAAAAATATCACCTTATATCAGTGGTTCTCAGTCTGTGGTTCGTGGACCACCAGTGGTCCACAAGAACTAAAATATGGTCCACGGCCTTACTCTTACTACATCTTTGCAATGAGAGCGACTGGTCTCGCGAAACCCTCTTTTAGTGTTGAGGCTTATTAAATATGGTTTTCTGTGGGTGAGCAGATGCCGACTACTGGCATATGTTCTTTATCAGAAACTAGAGCTGATGTGGTCTATACAATGTTAATTTCTTAATCAGCACCCCAAATAACCTAACTGAATCTAAAGTTGACCAAAAACTGATTCGTAACCTTTTGGTACTAATGTTGGAGAATGGTCCCTGGTCAAAGTGATCCCTAGTCAAGTGGTCCCTGGTCAAAAAAAGGTTGGAAACCACTGCCCTATATATATGAGAGAGTCATACTATACTTAACTTGAGGTTTCCTTGAGGCAACCTTTCAGGATCAGCCAAAATATATTACTTTGTTGCAGAAAGCAGCAAATTATACCTTCCCTCTCCAAAACGAGCTTTGTATGAGCATCTCCTCCAACTCTCCCAGTTTCGCCCCTATTGAGGCTTTGAAAATGTCCCCATTTCTCTCTTCCACTCATTTTCTTCCTTTCAACCTCAGTTTATTTTAATTGCTGCAAACTGGATTCAAAGTGCAAAAATGATTTGAAAAGAGAGGAGGATATCAGAGAGAGAATCTTGCCCTTCCCTGTGGGTTCAGGCAAAAGCAAACTGCTGTAGTCATTCCTAGCTCATAAGTTTAGTTAATTCTATTTAAGTCTAGTCAAGAACTATATTAACTGTTTACTGTGACCATGGATGGCTGGCTTGCTGTAGCCAAAGCTGTTTCTCTGTTTTTAATTTATGTGAAAATGTTTTTGAAAAGTTTTGACTGTGATTAATTTTACAGAACTGAATGTTTGCCATGCTTTTGTGTTATTTTGGAAGCTGCCCTGAATGTCTCTGGGGAGAGAGGTATGGGTTAGAAATAAATAATGATAATGATAATAATAATAATGTTTTTCTTCATTAATAAGCAGATTTCCTATGAAGCAGGTGACATGGTAGTCCTTTGTGATATTATAATTTTTTTCTCAGGTAAAGGCGATGATTTACACTGTCATAGGCTGTTGACAGGTCTATGATGACAGCTTCTGTAATCTGCTGCCTTTCAAAACCATCTTCTATGTGTTGAGTCAGGTTCAATAGCCTGTCCATGTATGTGCTGAATCAGGTTCAGCACAATAGCTGGTATTGCACCACCTAATATCCGCCGGAAGTAGCAATCAACAATGAAAGGATCGAGGCAGTGACATCTCCAGCCCATCCCTTGCTTGGATGTCAGCCAGTACACTAATGCCTTAAATCAAGAACTAGCTTTCTAAGATCTACAGAGATACCCGCAGGAACACCTCAGAAAGCAAGAGTCCAAAAGTGGCAGGCTAAAACCAGGAACCTTAACCTATGGCTGATACCGAATGAGAGACTCCCTCCTGGGCACTCAGAAGACTGGGTGATTTCGAAGGTGCTGAACAGATTGCGCTCTGGCACCACGAGATGCAGAGCCAACCTTAAGAAATGGGGCCACAAAGTGGAGTCCACAACATGAGAGTGTGGAGAGCAAAACGCAGACCACCTATTACAATGCAGCCTGAGCCCTGCCACATGAACAATGGAGGACCTTCTTATCGCCACACCAGAGGTACTCCAAGTGGCCTGCTACTGGTCAAAGGACGTTTAATAGAAACTTTGTGTTTTCTCAAATACATTACAATTGTTCCCTCTGTTTGCTTCTGACACGATAAACAAATAAATAAAATTCATTAATAAAGTTTTCCATGTTGACTACAGTCTAATGTTGCTTGGCCAGCCATGGTTTTCATTTGTAAAATGTGAGAAGCTATGTCATAGTAGGCTGAGCTTATCCAGTTATTCCAGCAGCTGAAGAAACCTTACAGCCACCTCTCCCTGTTCCTAAGAGTAAATATGCAATCTTTATTAATTAAATCATTATCCATTTTACTGCCTTTTCATGAGACTGAGGTGCTTATAGCATCATTTTCATATGTTCCTCTGCTTTCTTTCTAGACAGAAAGGGCAAGGCTACTGTTCTTTCATGGGACGCCTCGGTGGGTCCGTGGCTCCACTCATTTTCTTGCTGGACGGGCTCTGGAAGCCGCTGCCCCAAGTGACATACTTTGCCGTAGCTGTGCTTTGTGGCTCATCGGTCTTCTTCCTCCCTGAGACATTAAACGTCCGACTGCCAGAGACAATCGAGGACACTGAAAAGCAAAGGTGAGATGAGGGATATCTCCACTCTGCAGAATTATAGTTGTTTGATGCCACAGTAACAGCCTTGGCTCAATACTATGGAATTCGGGGATTGGTAGTTTTGTAAGATGGATTCAAAGTGCAAAAATGATTTGCACTCAACTTTGCACGGAAAAGTTTTGTACTTGTGCCATTCCAACTCTGTAGCTCTATGAGTTCCTTGAGAATTTCTAATTATATATTCACCACTTGGCTGGCAAATCCTCAAGTGTGATCCCTTCAATATAGTATATGTTCTGACAGATGTCAAATAGCAAAAAATAGGGGGAAAGACCAAAGGAAAAATGTTCTCAACGGGGAAGGGATATTCCTTGTTTTGAAGGGCGGGGGGAAGAGGAAATAAATACATTGATAATCTAGCATTAATTTTTCCTGCAATGTAGGACCCTTCCACACAGCCATATAACCGAGAATATCAAAAGCCTCCAGTGGCACAGCAGGTTAAACCACTGAGCTGCTGAATTTGCTGACTGAAAGGTTGGTGGTTCGAATCCAGGGAGCAAGGTGAGCTCCTGCTGTTAGCTCCAGCTCTAGCAGTTTGAAAACATGCAAATGTCAGTAGATCAATAGGTACCACTCTGGTGGGAAGATAACAGTGCTCCATGCAATCATGCCGGCCAATGACCTTGGAGACTTCTACGGACAACACCAGCTCTTTCGCTTAGAAATGGAGATGACCACCAACCCCCAGAGTCGGACATGACTAGACTTAAGGTCAAGGGAAAACCTTTACCTTTACCTTTATCAAGGCAGAAAATTCCACAATATCTGCTTTGAACTAGGATGTCTGAGTCCACACTGCCATATATTCCACTTCAAAACAGATAATATGGAATTTTATTCAGCTGTATGGAAGAGGGTTTAGTTTCCAACTTGGTGCTAGTGCATCCCTCAATGATCCCAGTCTTTCCTTTTGCTCTTTAATTGCAGTTTGGAAAAGGAGAAGCAGCTGCGTGGGAATATCTCCGAAGCCATGCCTCTGAAGTCATTATAGTAATGGCCTGCTGTGGGGTTGTTGCACTAACAACAGGGGAGTGAGGGCCAGCAGAAGAGATGATCAAGGACCATGTAAGAGCCAGCTGAGAACAAACTCTGATTTTATACCACAATAAAGCAAGCAATGCTATCCCATCTGGTGTCCTTTCACAGCATGGTAGTGAAGAGTTGATGAGACCCCTGCTTCTTTCACCTGGTTCTTTGCCATGTGCATTGCTAATAGTGTCAGTTGTTACAAGTAATGCTCAGTGGGGCATTCCCTAGCAGATAGTTGGCCCCAAGCTAAACCATTAATCCATCTAGATCAGGGTTTCCTACACCTTTTCCACCCGCGCCCCCTTTCCACCTGAGAAATGTTTACGTGATCCCAGGTATGTAAATATATAAATTAGGTATACAAGCACACCACTTTTTCCCTTTCTCAAGCAGCTCCCCAATTCTGCCTCTTTCTAAGTCCAAAGGTACTTTTCCCTTCTCAACCAGCAGTCCAATTCCTTCACTTTTGAAGTCCAATCGTACCTTCTCAACTTCTCTGCCTCTTACCCACTAACATTTCAGAAATGATGAATGGGACATGTGCAACCAAGCAACATCACATGTTCACATCCCATCTCGTGAGCATGCTCTGTTGCAACAGATAGGAGTGGGGTCCCAACACACTAGAAATGACCCACAAGTCGTGAATCACGGTTTATATGTATTCCCCAAATCAGTGAATATGTAGAAATTGAGAAGATGAACCAGTCATTAATTTTAGATCACGGCTTCTTAAACCTTTTCTACTCACCCTTTCTGCCCAAGAAATTGTTACGTGACACCAGGTATATAGGTATATATAAAATATAAAAATATACCTATATCTGTTTTATATACCTATATAAAAACAAGGTTTGCTAAACAGGCTTGTTTATGAAGTACAGCTAAAGCATTTTCAGCAGAGTCCACTATAAACACTGCATGTTGTTGCTAACAGATTTGTGTAAATGGGTGGCAATCAGAAACTTTGTACTGTTGCCAAACTTTTGTGACCCCCAACATTGAGCTAAAGGGATCCCATTTGAGATCAGGATCCACAGTTTAAGAGCAGCCACTGAGAAGGCTCTCTCCAACGTCCTCTGTGTTGGTAAAGGTGGCAGGAACACTGCATGACAGAAAACCATGCTTGACATCCAATCTGTTATGGTACAAAAAATAAATCTCGGCATGTTTCTTCATTTTTACAATCTTCACCAAAACAGAAAACAACAACAGCCTCAATTTGCATTATTTGATAGACCAAATGTTTTAAAGATTTCTGCAAAAGTGTGCCTGGTCCTATTAAAAATGGGACCAGCAACCTCTTTGCACAGAGGCTCACCAGAGTAAGCCCTTATTAAAAATGGCCCTTGATGTTCCATATCAACTACTTCATATTGCTTCTGAGTGCCAAACAGGCTGAAAAAAGGTGAGGAAGGAGGGAGGGCTGCCTTTCCCCCTAATTTTGGCCAAGGAAGGGGTAATGGGTTGGGAGTGTTTGTTGCCTTTGCCTTTCATCATATTCTTGCACTGATCCATATATAAATTGACCCAGGTCTTTTGAAGTCATTTTTTTTAATGAAAAATTATTAAACATGTATACGAGTATATATGGTAACCTCCACTGAGTTCAGTGTGACTCACTCTCCTAAGCAATAATAAAAATTAGCAGAATGAGTCAGACTGAGCACAACCAAAGCTGGGGGAGTGGCCATTTCATAGAAATCATTTTCCTTAAATTACTGGGTCAATTTCAAAAATCTTGTGTGAATCACTGTTTTCTCCAGCCCTGCTTTAAATACATGTATATATATGTGTGCTGGTAATTCATCGATAGATGATTGCCACACAAAATTAAGAAAAAGGCTTTGTGAAATAAACTGTAGCAAAGTGCCTGGGAGGCAGAGGACTGTTAATAGTTTGTTGAACTCTACCAACACGACAGTTGAATTTTTCCTCCGTTGTTACTGCGTTTTATTTTCATTAAATTACTGTGATGACCTTTGGAGAAAATCGTAAAGGATGAAGTCCTTGGATCTTGCCTTATGTTAATTCTCTCTCTGCCATCCAAAGGAAAATAACCTTGCAAGAACATCCTTACATTCAAGGACATTGTTTGGGGAAAGGGAGGATAAATCAATATTTTTAGAACTGTATTGATCTGGAGAAGCCGTCTCTGCCCTGGTTATGCAGCACCACTGCAATGCCTCATTATGAATTAATACAATTAGCTTTCATCCATATATCATTCAATGCAAAGTTAATGTGATTGCAGAGATTACTTAAGGGAAACCATTTGTCCAGGAATTTCCATCCACCCTTCAGCTTCATTTCCTTCCCTCTAAATTAAACCAAGAACAAAGAATGCCAAGATGGTTATTAGAAAGCTAACCCTCCTCCCACCATCCCAGATGTGAGGTGGAAGGCAACAAATAAGAAACAATATCCTCAGCTGTCATCAAATGGTAGAAAACGAGAAGCAAAAACACTTTCCTTGAATGGGATTTCTCAATTATTCACTGTGAGCATTTCCAGACAGCACTAAATCACGGGTTTTAAACAGCGGCAAAAAATCTCGGGACTTCAGAAGAGGTCCACATACAGACCTGTTGGTCCTGGGATTTCTGCCTCTGTTGTACAGACTTGATGCTTTGTTGCAAGATTTAGAGGTTCCCAAGATGGCAGCTGTGGGACTTCCGCTGTAAACTTCAGTGTTTGTTTTTTTTTAATAAAAACTCTCAAGATGTGGATATGTGGAGATTCACTGCAGTAAAGCACTGCAAACGTTTCATTCTTTGTCCTGGCCAGATAAACTGTGCCCTCACCATTTCTGCCCAAGACCGTACTGCACAATCAAACAGGAACACACACTTTCAAGCCAGGAACATAGCTTTGTCATTATTGACATTTTTTAGAACCTGGCTGCCTGGCCATCTGTCCAGACAAATTTGGTTGTGTGCTTGTGGCATCAAACAACAGGGTGCTGTTCCTGGGTTATACATGGCTGTTCCTGATTGAAAAAGATGTACAATGTTGACTAGGGGACCACAACTTTGTCCTGACCAGATAAAATGTGCCCTCCACATGTTTCATAAAGTTTCTGGCACACAAATAAAGTTTTTACATTCTTCTCAACTGTCACCTTCTTTTGAGAAACCGACCAATTAGGAACAGACATCTAAAACCCAAGAATATACCTAGATTAAAAAATCCTGTGATTTCTGATTGCAGGGACATAACAGACATTTGAAGGTGTGGATATTCAGTTCAAAACCGCGATATTCCCTCACCTGAAAATCTTGCATTTTTGGCCTTTTGTAGCGATTGCTTCAGCGTTTACAGGGAATGCCGTCTGGCTACCCTTCTATTTGCTACGGAAGCTCCTGGGATAAAGTACTGTCTGGACAGGCCCTGTGTCCCAAAAAAACAAATTTAGGATAAAGTTGGAAGCAATGGAGGAGTTGCCATTAACACCCCAAATGTGTGGGATAAGGCTGCAGTGAGCCCTATTTTTCCTTGGTTGCATAGGGGGAGAAATATCCTCCAGCCCTTAAAGGCTGGGGTAAGCAAAATATGGCATATAACTTTGTGACCATTTTAGACTCCCCGAAACCACCAATTAAAATAAAAGTGAAGAAACAGTTGTTTGTCATTTTTTTGTTCAAACCATTTCAGCCTCTGAAAACAAAATAAATGTTGACATTTAGTTCTTTCTCATTGCTTATTTTGCCAATTCTGAATGTTGCGAAAGGGATAGGTGTGGAAGGTAAGGATGTTATTTCACAAATCTGCTATTCTAGCTGTGTTATCATTCACAGTGAATATACATTAAGAGTGAATATATATCAGATACACCTTCAATATCACACTTATCTCCATTTGTGCAATGCACCGATTCACCAATTCATGGTCCTGCGATCATACTCCTGCACACCCCCATAACCCAACCTTCTCACACATTGTTTCTTAATTTTTTTATGTTTATTGAAATAGTGCAATTTCAGCATTTGAAAATGAACAATATATAAATATAGAATATAGAATAAAGCAAAATAGTGGTGATAGCGAGAAGGAGCAAGGAGATGGAGAGAACTTGTCTCCTGACACCACTTTGAATTCATTTTGTAGCAACTTAAGTGAGACATGACAAAGGGTGAAAGGGAGAGGAGACAAATTGGCACATTTTAAAAACATCTAAGAAAGTGGGACAGAAGAGGATTAACCTGGGCCATTCTTGACAATCTGGGACAGTTGGAGCCTATGCTATGTCAGTGCTACACTTTCATAATACGACTTGCAAAATGCCATTTAGCAGAAGTGGCTGCTTTGTGACGCATGCAAGTCTGCATACTGTTTAACATCTCCGTCTTAGAAGTGTGTTACCTCTGGCCCATGATATGCCTCTGAATTTGGGTGTATGACAAAGCAGATTAGCCAGAACACTGAATATTCTCAGTATGACTATAATTATGTTTGTTTAACTAATTCCAATGGGCCTTCACTCCTAACAGCTCATAGGCTGTTAGGAATTGTGAGAGTTGAAGTCCAAAGCACCTAGGGGGCCAAAGTTTGCCTATGCCTAGTTTATACACACAAGCATAGAAACCACTTTTGAACATTTCTTACTTATGGAAACCCTATGGGAGTCAGCATTGTTTGTGCTTGAAGACACACACTCACACAGGGATATTGACTGGAGATTGTGATCCAAACGGGGATGCCTTCCCCTAATTTTAAGGGCTTATCCAACCTAGCAGATGTAAATCTGGCTTGGATCATCCCCAGATTCAGCACTTATGTGCTGATCTGGGGTTGTTATCCAGATGGCCTGGGATTGTTACCTCATCCGTGTTGCTGCCACCACTGCTCCTAGATTGCCATGGAGCTCTGTGCAAACGCCCGGGCGCCATGGTCACATCTGTGTTACAAACACATGGTGCCCCACATAACCAGCAAGGTGAGGGTCAGTCTTCTCTCTTTCTTTCTTGCTGGCTGCATGGGTGGCAGGAGGTGGCCAGGAGTTCAGTTGGAGTTTGGTGGCCAGCTAGGAGTGGCAGTGACAGGGGCATGAGCCATTCTCCTGCACTGGTCAGCTAAGGGAAAGGGTAATGGAGG